CCCCCAAAATGTAAATCTTTCTTTCTCTTTCTTTCTTTCTTTCTTTCTTTCTTTTTCTTTCTTATAAGACCCCCAAAATGTAAATCTTTCTTTCTTTCTTTTTCTTTCTTATAAGACCCCCAAAATGTAAATGTTTCTTTCTTTCTTTTCTTTTTCTTTCTTTCTTTTTCTTATAAGACCCCCAAAATGTAAATCAATCTTTCTTTCTTTTCTTTTTCTTTCTTTCTTTTTAATGACCCCCAAAATGTAAATCTATCTTTCTTTCTTTCTTTCTTTCTTTCTTTCTTTTTCTTTCTTTCTTTCTTTCTTTCTTTCTCTTTCTTTTTTTCTTTCTTATAAGACCCCCAAAATGTAAATGCATGTATTTATCATCTGCTTCTGCAGCGACCGGCAGTTAAAAAAACCCAGAGCCCTAAGCATTACGAACAAGGAAGCCCGATACGCCGCAGCGTAGCGAGGGCCCAACGCATTCATCCTCCCGTCGGTTAACTGTATCTAGTTTACAAGGTTTTTTTTTTTTTAATCCACTCGGATTTGATATTAGAGCTGCTCTTTTCACCCCAATAAATAAAACCAAATGGGTTATAGGAGGGGAAACGTGGCGTCGCCAACAAGGGGGTCCTGCCAACCAGGCCTCGAGCAACGCCGACTTGTCACAAAAGATCGACTGCTAAATAAAGAAGACCGGCTGAGATTTGCATTCGTTATTTTTTTTTTTTTTTTTAGTTTTGATAGCAGGTCTTCTTTCAGAGTCTGGAACGACGGGTGCCATTCGTGACCCAACAACCCAAGGGGAAAAAGGGACTACTGTGCTACAGAACAGCTTCTCCTAAGTGTAAGAGATACCTCTAATTCCCTAACACGGAGAATGATTGACTGAAGGGCCCACCATTAAATCAAACGCACGACAACTGGGAGGGACGCTTGAGGAGCATCCATTTTTTTCCCTCTTAGGAATAGCTCCTCATATGGTGGGGCTGCCAGTCAAGCCACGTGGGAAGAGCCCATCAATTTAGAGATAATTAAATCAACGTGTTGTCTGGCACATCCACATTACCCAGACTGATAAGAAATCAAGGCACTAGCCTTCAATGAGGCTGTAATCGGAAAAAGCTACCCCAGTGACTTTTGTAACCATCAGCTAAGCAAGAAGCCAACAAAATGCAGGGACACAATTTCTGTTAAGTTAACCATGCGTTATTTTAAAAAAAGGGAATGTCACCCTCTATCCGTGACAGTCAGGAAACCATTGCAGACAGGCGAATAATAAAGCACATTTCCCAGTACTGGTAGCCCTTGACTCGCAATCATTCCTTTAGTGACCGAGGTTACAACAGCACTAAAAAAAATGTGACTCACGACCATTTTTCACACGACCGTTGCAGCATCTCACAGCCATCGGATCAAAATTCAGACACTTGCCAAACAAAATTCAATGGTGAAAAAAGGAAGGTTCTACATTTAGGCAAGAAAAACCAAATGTACAGGTATAGTATAGGGGTACCTTGCTCAATAGTAGCAACTGCGAGAGGGACCTCGGAGTCCTAGTGGACCATCACTTAAATATGAGCCAGCTGTGTGCTGCAACTGCCAAAAAGGCCAACACAGTGCTGGGCTGCATTGACAGAGGGATAGAATCAAGATCACGTGAAGTTTTAATACCACTTTACAAGGCCTTCGTAAGGCCACACTTGGAATACGGCATCCAGTTTTGGTCACCACGATGTAAAAAAGATGCTGAGACTCTAGAAAGAGTGCAGAGAAGAGCAACAAAGATGATCAGGGGACTGGAGGCTAAAACATATAAGGAACGGTTGCTGAAATTGGGAATATCTAGTTTAATGAAGAGAAGGACGAGGGGGGAAATGATAGGAGTATTCCAGTATCTCAGGGGCTGCCCCAAAGAAGAGGCAGTCAAGCTCTTCTCCAAAGCACCTGAAGGCAGGACAAGAAGCAACGGGTGGAAACTAATCAAGGAGAGAAGCAACCTAGAACTCAGGAGAAACTTCCTGACAGTGAGAACAATTAACCAGTGGAACAACCTGCCTCCAGAAGCGGTGAATGCCCCAACACTGGAAGCTTTTAAGAAGAGACTGGACGGCCATTTGTCTGAAATGGTATAGGGTTTCCTGCCTGAGTAGGGGGTTGGACTAGATGACCTCCAAGGTCTCTTCCAACTATTATTGTTGTTGTTGTTGTTGACTCATATTTATGACGGTTGCAGTGTCCCAGGGTCACGTGACCCCCCTTTTGTGACCTTCTGACGAGTTAAGGTCAAAAGCAAGCCGGATTCACTTCACAACTGTTGTTACTAACTTAACAAAGGCAGTGCTTCACTGAACAATTGCGGTTGTAAGTTGAGGACTACCTGTAGTTAAGTCAGCCTTTCCTATGGGGATGGGATTCCCAATTCAGGATTCCAAGTTGCCTTGGCCAAAATGAACCAAAGTACAAACCCACCCAGAGTGACAGAAAACTATTTTGCTTCTGGTGAAGTTTACTTTATCCTTAAAACCAGAAAGGAAGAAATAAGCTTTCCTGCTAAATATCTGCAAGGGAAGACACGATCTGTGTAATATTTAATATCCTCAGAAGTAAGTCCCTTTTAACAAGGGCTAAAGAAGTTTCAATTCATTTCCCCTTTGCGTTCTTTTCACAGGCAAAAGAGTTACCCAAATAGGACTTTGAAAAAAATGCAGCCTTTAAAAATTTATTTTCATGTCCACTCTTAAGGTTTTTTTTCTGTCATGTTTGGCCTGGCGTTGCCTATTTGGCTCTGAACCTCTGAATCTTTCCTTTTGGCATGCTCATTTATTTCCAAGCAGCAGATGGGCTTGCCTTCTGATTCCCGATGGCCCGCAGGATTTTTATTTTATTTTTTGGGGCCAAGTCTTGTACCAAACTCTTCCTATGAATTGGATCCAGACGCCCGTTAGGCCTTCTGAGGTTACGCACCTGTAATGGGTGGTAGGTTTTTATTCACTTTTATCTGGTGTTTTGATCTGAGAACTCTCTTTATGGTCACTGCAAACTGTTGGCCAGAGCCCTTAAATCTCCAGGACTGGCAAGGAAGAGACTGGACAGGCAGCCCAGGTCAAGGGAAGCCTGGCCAAGTTCAGTAGGGCACAGCCCCACGAGATCCCTCTTTTCTAAACCCCTTGCTCATCCTCCACTATTTCAGCCTGTATCCCATAAGTAGGATCTGTCCAGCGCGCAGCCATCCCTTTACTCCAGCACCCCTTTTACTAATTCTACAGCCCCAGGTGACACCTCCTTTCCCGCCATGGATGGCCAACCCCATCCTGCATCACTACCAGGCCCTTTATACACCCCCAAGTGGCCAATTTCCCTCCCCATCCCACCGTAGGAGCCCTCCCCATCAGGAAACGGGCCGCCAGACACCGTGAATGGGGGGCAATGATCCCCTCAAACGCCCCTCCCTCAGAGACAGCCTCACCCCCACCCCTTGACATCCCTCCTTCCTCTGAGGTGTCAAAACAGGCCTCATGTGCACCCCCAGCACCCCCTTTCCTACTTATACATCTCCAAGTGACCCCTCTATCCCCCCCATCTCACAATGGGCGCCACCTCCACATGGGCCCAGAAGACACTTTGAGGGGGGGCAGTCAACCCCTCTTTCCTCAGAGACCACTTCAGCTCCCATCCCCTAGCAGGCCCAGGGCTCTCCATCCCTCCTCTGGCCCCCCTCAAAGTGCTCAGCCACCCCCTTTTCTACTTATACACAGAGAGCCCTCCCCACCAGGAAACAGAGCCACAGACACCTCCAAGCGCTCCCTCTTTTTCTCCCCACTCAATGGAGATGGACCCACAGACACTGTGAGTGGACAGAGGGGGTCAATGGTCCCCTCTCCCCCTCCCCTCCCCTCCCCCCAGACACCCTGGGGGTCAATGATCCTCCATCCCTTTCCTCACAGACCCCCCCTCCCCCCCATAGACACCCTGGGGGGGCAATGATCCCCTCTTCCCTCCCCTTCACACAACCCGAGGGGGGGGTCAATGATCCCCTCTCCCTTTCCTCACAGATCCCCCTCTCCCCCCCCACAGACACCCTAAGGGGGGGTCAATGATCCCCTCTCCTCATGCCCTCCCCCTCCCCTCCCTCACAGAGCCCCTGGGGGGTCAATGATCCCCTCTCCCCCCCCACACCCTGGGGGTCAATGATCCCCTCTCCCTTTCCTCACAGACCCCTCTCCCCCCTCTCCCAGACACTCTGTGGGGGGGTCAATGATTCCCTCTTCCTCCTCCCCCCTCTTTTAGAAGGGGGGGAATAACCCCCTCTCATCTTCTCCCTCCCCTCCCCCACAGACACCCTGGGGATCAATCATCCCTTCTCCCCCTCCCCTCCCTCACGCAACCCGAGGGGGGGGTCAACCATCCCCTCTCCCTTTCCTCACAGACCCCCTCCCCTCCCTCACACAACCCCTGAGGGGGGGGGGTCAACCATCCCCTCTCCCTTTCCTCACAGACCGCCCCCCCCCACTCAGGCCCCGAGGCGGGCCCGGGAGGGACTTCCCTCCCGCCAGGCGTCCGTCTAGCTGGCCTCACAAGATCCCCACCCCCGACATCAAGAAGCATCAGAGGCGAGGCGGGGGGGGGGGGAACGCGACCAGAGGCTGTTCCGGGAATCCAGCCGCGCGCGTGGGGGGGGGGGGGAAGAGAGAGAGAGAGAGAGAGAGAGGGCGGGGCTGGAGGGAGAGCGAGGGGGGTTGTCCGGCGCGCGCGGGGTCCCCTCAGCGCCTGGCGCGCGCGGGCCTCCCGTCCGGCCCCGCGGCGTTCGAAAACCGTTGCTTGTTTACCAACAGCCGCCCCGCCCCTCCCTCCCTCTCTCCCTCGCGCGCGCGCGAGAGAGAGAGCGCGCGGGGGGGGCAGAAAGGGGGGACAGCCCCCCCTCCTTCCTCGTCTCTTTCCCCTCACGCGGCGGCGGTGGCGGCGGGGGGGGGGCGAAGGAGGGGGGCGACTCGAAATGGCCGGTTGTTTACCTGGCGGCGCCCGGGTCCCTCCGGCGGCCGGCGTGGAGGCGGCGGAGGCGACGGCGGGGGTCAGCGGGGCAGCCTCCGCCTGCGCTGCTGCTGCTGCTGCTGAGGCGGCGGCGGCGGCGGCGGCTGAGGCGACGGCGACGGGCGGGAAGATGTCGCCCGGGCTGTCGTTCCTGGCTGAGGCGGCGGCTTCTTCGTCGTCGTCGTCTTCCTCCTCCTCCTCTTCCTCCTCCTCCTCCTCTTCTTCGTCTTCCTCCCCCTCCGGCTCGGACACCACCATCTCCTCCTCCTCTTCCTCGTCCTCCCTCAGAGGGGAAGCCATGGTGGTGCCGGAGGAGGAGGGGGTAAGGGGGTGGCGGATGGGTGGGGGAACACCGACGGGCGGCGGAGGAAAGGGGGGGGCGGCGGCGGCCCCCCTTGCCCGCCCCTCGCGCTCCCTCCCTTCCTCAAAAGCGCCCCCCCCCTCAGACCATCCCCTCAAAACAAAACAAAAAAAAAGACCCAAAAAAAGGGACAAAAATCCGCCAAAAAAAGGGGGGGCGGTGGGCGTGTGGAATGGGTGAGGGGGGGGGCCCGAGGAGAAAGTCCCATGCGATGGCCGGGACTCTTCTTCTTTCTTCTTTTCCCTCACAACTTTTCTTCTTCTTCTTCTTTTCCTAGGCAAGGTTTCTCCTCAGATCTTTCCCCTCCCCCCCCCCTTTGGGGGGAAAGAAAAAATAATAATTTAAAAAAAAATGGGTGGGGGTCGGAAAGAGAATTCCAAAAAAAAAAAATGGGTCTCACTTCTGAGGTTGGGGAGTCCAGGATCGTATTTTGCCACCCGAGCAAAAAATTAAAAAAAAATAAGCAACAAAAATGGCCGCCTGTAAATTATTTTTTTAAAAGCGCCCCCCCCGCGAGGGAAAAGATAAATGCCCCCCCCCGTGGAAAAAAAGAAAAAAAAAGAAAGGAAGAGGAGAAATATATATGTATATATATATACACACACACACACACATATATATATAGCCAAAATGGCTGGCTTAATTTTAACCCCCTCTTCCTTAGGATTCCAAAAAAAAAGAGAGAGAGAAAAAGGCCCCCCTTCCTTTCCAAAAATAAAAATGCAATCAGAATCAGCTCCAATTTAAAAAAAAAAAAAAATCAGCCAAGAAAAAATAAAAGAAGCAGAAGAAAAGAAAAGATAAATCAGGAATCAAGACAGGTTCCCCCCCCCCCTCTTCTTGCTGTGGTGATATTTTCTTTTCAATCGCCCAAGATCTGTGGTCATGAACAATATTTAGACATTCCTGGCACTGGGGGGAACCTGACAAGATTTCTGCATAAAACAAAGATGGCTGCTCTAAATTATTTCTTCTTTTTTTTTCCCTCCCTCCTCTCCTTAGGCTCTCCCCCCCCACCTCCCTCAATAAAAATATTTTTTACGGGGAGGGGGGAAGAGAGAGAAAAGGTTGGATTAATCAGTACTCATGCTCAGTTATGACATCAGCATAAAATTGTTAAAGGTTAACTAGTTCCATACTAGTCAGACCCATGACTTTGGTGTGTGCTTATGGTTGCTTTACTAGCACAAGAGGGGAAAAAAAGAATAGGGGTGTTTTATTTCCTCCCCCCCTTTCTTTTTTCTCTCTCTCTCTAACTTTAAATACTTCAGAAGGGAGTGGCTTATTTTTCTCTTTTTCCTCTAGGGCAAGAAAGGAAGAAGAGAAGAAGAAAAAAACCCTCCCTGATTACTGCAATTCATTAAAAGATTTTTTTTTTTTTGGTCCACATTCACAAAGGGAGATTTTATTGTTTTTCCCAGATGAGATTCTTTTGATACAGGCAGACAGACACAACTATGTATGCGTATGATTTTGCTCAGGTTTTGCATTTTAAAAGAGGCTAATATTAAATTTAATAAAATTTGAAAGCTAGGTTCTGGATACTCTTTTTAAGATTTGCCCCACAGGGATAAATTATAAGGCATAATTAAATTAGTGTGATAAAATACCTTTTAACAAAGTTTTTATTTCCCCATCACCGAACTGACAGAACAGTTTTCAATCAGATTGGGGGGGGGGATCATGATGCAGTCCAGCAGGGAAATCAATGCACTTAAATTATTGTATGCGATAAGAATGTCTAAAACTAACCTTGTATTTTTGCCTCTTGGACAAGGTCCCCCAAATAAAAGTACCTTGTTTCTTATGCATTCCTTGTTTTGTAATACTGTTCCATTATGGCAGAACCCTATTTTTATAGCAGGGGAAACAACTAAAACTCACACCTATGAGATGGAGACAAAAATAATTAACAATAGGAACGCAGCACTCCTTTTTATTGTCAAACCTAACAGACGCATGTTTGAATTTTACAAAACTTTCTTTTTACTTGTTAACAGACACATCTGTGATAAGAATCTGCCCACCAACCTAACAAGAAAGTTGCAAAGCGCCTGCATCTCTTCCTGTCTGGCTCTTGAAGATTGTTGCAAATGGAAAGTCTTCTAATATCTGAGAATTACAGAATCAGGTTTGCCCTGGGCCACGGCATAGAAGTAAGTACCGTCTTCACAAAAGAAAACGCAAGGAACGGGCTGCACCTAAGTCTCCAGGGACACCACTGCTGCACACAACCACACAGACAAATCTCAGGGGGACCCGCGACCTTAATCATATTCCTGAAAAGAGAGCTATTGGCCAAACCCTCCCCACCCACTGGGATTTACCTCTGAGTAAATACTGAACTACAAAGAATCTTCAGTGGACAAACTTAGGGTCAACATCCTATTTTGAGTGAAATGTGCCTGGGGGGGGTGGTCTGATCCTGCCAAAGGTACCATTTTCCATGAATAGGCACATCAGCGTTAACAGAAACCTACTATAAATTCAAATATACTTGTGGAGCACAGTGCGAACTTGGCTTTGTTCTCCCTAGTTTCACACGGTCGTTTAAAATAACATTCCAGTGTTATTCTGTGGTATTTCCAAAAAAAGGTAAAATTCAAATGTATTTTCCGGTTGGGACCGCGTGTCGCTGTTAGTGACAGGTCAGTCGGCCACATTTTAGCTTGATGGTGTATTAATCCAGCCCTTCTGGTTAGTTTGCTATACCAACCCTGAAAACTGGATTAATTGAGTAAACCAGGACAAGCATGTTGTGCAAATACAGCCGAGGGATTCTATTATTAGCCCCAGGTTTCTGCAAGGTGCACATTTGTGTTAATTTTTAAAACCTGCTTTAACACTCTTTGTAGGGGCGGCCCCTTCTCCCAGCTTCTCTGCCTCTCGGTCTCTGGCTAGGAAAAGGAAATATTTCGATTGCTGAAGGGCTCGATGCCGGATAGAGATGTTACAGAACAATCATCTCCAAACACAGCGTTCCTTCACCCAGGGTAATCCCCTTTAAAATGGTGAGTCTTGGAATAATAAATCTGGAAACAATGAGGCTTATTCAAAGTATTCCAACTTTATTGAAACTGGACCACAGAGCCGGAGTCCCGTTTCAAGGTTCGGTGTATTTTGTGGCGTTGGCAAAACGGATCGCCAAATTTACTTTTGAGGAGGGCGCGTTTGCAGGTTTTCTCTGTCTGCAGTTTCCCCAAAGTACGACATGGGATGAAAGAGCCCAGAAAAGATAACCTTGCCAGTACCAGCACAGCTTCTTTATATGCATATATGTATATGTTTTCTGAGGTTTTCGCGGGTGTTTGTATGTAGGTCTTTGGTTATTCGGGTTTTCTCCCGCGTAAAATTGGAAGTGTCTTGGCGACGTTTCGACGAAGTCCCATTCGTCATCTTCAGGCTGGTGTCTTCGGCTTCGTGCTTCTAGGAGCAAAAGCACGAAGCCGAAAACACCAGCCTGAAGATGACGAATGGGACTTCGTCGAAACGTCGCCAAGACACTTCCAATTTTACGCGGGGAAAAAAAACCGAATAGCCAACATCCAGAAATGCCAGTAGCAAGCGATGATGGGGCCCTCGCTTCAAAACGATTGGCTGGGATGGGAAGAGCCTCTTTATGGGGCCCCCAAAAAAAAGGAGGGCCGCGTAAATATTACAGCGTGCCTCTTCTTGTCCCTTTTGGTGGCTGTGCAAGCTCAGCCTAAGCTTTTTCCCCCCTTAGACGGGTTATAAATGTCCACAGAGGAGTAACTACGCCTGCAGGAGAGACTCTTTGCCAAATGAACGTTATCCCCCGTGTGGCTTCTACATTTAACGCAACACCCTCCGAAGCCCTCCAGGAGCCAGTGGGCGCCGATCCCACTCATTCATGTTGAAACATTTCCCTGGCAGTGCTGGAAGCCAGTGCTCCAGAGGAGCGCTTGAGGTTTCACGCTAGCAACCTCTTTTGACTGAGAAATGTGCTTTCTAGTCTACGTACAGTCTTCCCAATGGGAGAGAGGGAGCCTGAATCGGCGCGGCGGCATCCGAATGTGAAGTCCCACCAGTTCTGAGCTTCATCTCGCCCGTGGGCTAACGCGACCAAGTCTATAAATATCATTTTCTGAACGCGGCCCAAACCTTTTAGGTCCTTACCGTCCCAGGCAGGAGACCGGGGAGGAGAGGACATCCTTTACCGCAGGCCCATCTTTGGAGCACAAGGTCCAGAGCGTCAAGATTCCCATCCAGGGTTTTTAGAAAGCATCCTCTTTATTTCACCTGTTTATCCCCACCACGCTGCCCCTTGGCTGTCAAAAGGGCCCAAAGGTGTGCTGTTCTTCACACCGTTGGCCTGCCCTTCCCCTCAGGGGACTGTTGCTGTTTTTGTGGTGTGCACGTGGGTCTTTAAAGGTCTTTCCCCGATGACTGCTTAAGCGTGCCCCCCCCCCGTTGGAAATATAGACGAAAACCTGCCTTGGGTGCAAAAGATCAAACGGAGAGCAGCCTCCGTTACAAATTCATCCCGCGAGGTCAGCACCTTTGCCAGATTTTAGCCTCCTTTGGGCCAAACACTGGAAAACTTGTGACAGATTTTCCAGCTGATTGTGATGGCTGGGCGTTTGGTGCGCTCCACGCTTCTCCCCCCCAGGTCTTGTGCAGCCGGCGGTTCCAGGTCACGCTCTCCGGGGCCTCCTTGGTTTAAGTGGGTTTAACGGCTCTGGTGGAGAGCCTCCTTCCACCACAACCCTGTAGACCTTAAGCCGCCTGCACAATTGCATAACAACTCCCGATGCCTCAGTTGCCTCTTGCCAGCAGACTTGTTACGAAGCAGCTGGTAGAAAATATATCCTACTTCTGTCCTGTAACAAAAATCTTGGCTAAACGTTTTCCGAATTTGATATTTCCCCAGTCCCGGTTAGCTTACTGTCCGTAGAAATTGTGACTTCTTTTTTTATAATGGGAATATTGGTTATTTAATAACGATGGCGACGACGACAAAAACTGCTACAGAGTGCCATCCTTTTGGGAGAACTATGCTTCCCCTGTGGGGGCAAAGGCCAGAAGTGGGGAGGGGGGTGGGGTAGGCAAGGGGGAGAAAAGGGGGCAACCCACAGCCGTTGCTCCTCTTCTGCAAAGCAGCTGCCAGGGTTAAAAGGCAGGAGCAGGTGGGAGGTGAGGCAGCCCAGCCCTGGAAGGAAGAGAAAAGCAGGTGACAGGCTTTCTTAGGAAGGGGAGATTGTTGCATCCCTTCCCCCCCCCCAAATGGAGTCTGGAGGATGGATGGCAACCATCCCATCTGATCTCAGTAGAAGTTAACATCTCCCCCCGGGCTGATGGGGCCTGCCAGAACTGTAGATAATATTCAACCTTCAAGTCTCATTTCACAGCCCCCACTTAGGATTTCTCCCCCCCTCCCTCCCTCCCTCCCCCTCTAACAGCTGTCGCAGACAGGAGTTGAACAAGGAGGGAGAGAAAAGCACAGCTGGCCTGATGTTGCCACAGCCATGCTGGCATCATGTGAAAAACGGGCCCGGTGCCCATCCGTCTCTTTGCCCCGACTGGGGAAGGCCCGGGACGGCTGCCAAGGTTGACCTGAGAGTGCAACAGAAGCTCCCACCGCTGCCTTCTGCCAAGACCAGACCTTCCGGGTCAAGGTCTGCGGGGCGGCTTCTCCCCCCCCCCCCCCCGCTTCCCTGGTTAAAGTCACAAGGCTTTGGGGGGGTCGTAGATGACATTTCCCTGCGCTCTCCATGCATCCCACAGATGGGCTTTTCTGCACAGGCACCTTGGGGACACGCCAGCGGCGACCTGCTCTTGGCAGGCCCGGAGGATGCCCTCATCTCTACGCCTCCTCCCAAAACACAAATCGGCCTAGTTTTCTCCAGCAACTCAATCCATCACTCCATGCCTGAATGATTTCTGGATACAGAGGTGACGGGAAATGGGTTAGCACCAGGGACTGCTTCCGTGGAGAGAGTTTTTTTCCCACCAACCGGAGAGCGTGTGGTTTTGTGTGCTGCCTGCATCCTGCGGATGGGGCCTTGCTTTGTTTGCGCAGACCGCCCGATAGCGGTCCACGGACCGTGGGGGGTGTTGGGGACCCCTGGCTTAAGAAACAAACCTTCATGGGCGAGTGGAGCAGAACGCCAACCCTGGAAGACCTCCAGGTCCAGACCAGCAACTATGGTTGGCTCCTTTGCTTTCCAAACGGAAAACAGGTATTCCCAGAGACAGGCAGCCCTGGATCATTCTGCGTTTCCACCCCCCTCCCTGTAAATGGTGGGCTCAGAAAGCCAAAAGACGGGCGCAGAGGCAGAAAGGCAGGCACAGTGGCCCTCGGGGACACACCAGAAGCCTCAGATCACACTCGCACAAGCAGCACACTCGTATCCTTAGGAGAGGAGGGTTGAACGCCCTGGTCCCCCAAGGCTGACTTAATCCTCCTTGAGTGTTTTGTCCTCTCTTGGCGGTGGCTGTCCCTTCGACATGCTCCCCAGACGTTGCCCCCCTCCCCGTCTTGGATCTCAACAGCCACTCGAGGCCGATTGCCAACCTCTAAGCCAGGGGTGGGCAACTAGGGCCCTTTACGAACATGGCTGCCTGGCTCAGGAATTCTGGGAGTTGAGGTCCACCGGCCGTCAAGGGGCCACCCCTGGCTCTAACCTCTGGGATCAGCAGAAGCACATTGACAGGTCTTAGGGGAGCCGCTGCTTTAAAACACGTGAGAGCTCTGACAGAGACAAGACAAGCCACAGAATCCCTTCATATTAGAGGTTGGGATCACTATGGACTAGAATCCCTTTTAGCAGGGTTTTAATCTGTACTTTAAATGCAGAACCGTTACAGGTAGTCCTCAACTTACAACCATTCCCTTAGCGATCATTCGAAGTTACGACCACACTGAAAATTGCAAGGCTTGGCAACCGACTCATACTTCTGACGATGGCAGCGTCCCGGAGTCACGCGATCTCCTTTTGTGACCTTGTGACTTTTAATCGGGAAGCCAGGTTCGCTTAACCATCATGTCTCTAATTTAACAAGGGCAGCGATTCGCTTAACGACTGTGGCAAGAAAAGCCGCAACCTGGGGCAAAACATACTTCGCAACTGTCCTGCTCAGCTCTGAAATGCTGCCTAACATACAGTGAATCCTGGGAACGGATGATAAAAAGCACCACACAGCCTGTCATGCTTGATGGCAGAAACAGATGATTTACGAGAGAGAGAGAAGGAAGAATTATTGGTTTCCGCACGGCTACAATCGGAGGAAACGGACATTTGAAACACCTAGCTTTTCCCACAAATGCACCTGAAACCACCAGGGCTTGTTTTGTTTTATCTTTCAACCGGTTGCATTTTAATGTCTTTTAAATTTTGATTGGAAGGTGCCCACCGTTGGCTGAAAGATGGGCAGCTATATAAACATTATAAATAAATTTAAAGTGATTTTCTTTTGTACTCCGGTAAACGGCATCATCTAAGCCAGTGGTTCTCAACCTTTTTAATGCCGCGACCCCCAACCGGTCGTAAGTCGAGGACTACTCAACTGGTGCAGCACCGTTTGCAGAATGGGACTTTTGGCGGGCTCAGCAGGGCAGAGACAGCCTGGACAATTCCTATTGGCTTTTGAAAGCCAATATAATTAGACTCTATTCAAGAGAGTCTATTCTATTGGCTTTCAAAAGCCAATAGAATAAAAGGGAGGAGCACAGCTAAGGAAAAGGGGGGAAAAAATGGCGGACTGCGTTGTTTGGCGACCCCCGTGAAATGGTCGTTCGACCCCAAATGGGGTCCCGACCCACAGGTGGAGAACCACTGATCTAAACGATTCTGTCCGATTTCCAAAATAGTAAACAAGCTAGGATCTCGCTAATCTAGGATAGAAGACCACCAGGAAACACACAGACATTCCAGAAGAAAACAACGGCAAACCACTCGGGTACCAGCGCGTGTCCATGTTCCCAAATACACCAAGGATCCAGCTTGACTCTGATACGACTTCGCTGTTAACGTATTTTCTTTGGGAAATACCGGTTTACAAAAACAAGAGTTTTGGCTGCAATCCTGGGCAGCGATCTTACAAAATCACCCTCGCTGAACAGACTGCAGCACCCAGAGAACATACTACACTGACAGTCACCTATTTTTTTTTTCCTTAACACCTGAAGTTACACGATGCAAAGACCATCTTTATTCAAGATTTGCTCTTTTCGAGGCGTCAAGATGATTTTTTTAAAAAAATGAAAAGTTAAACCTGACGGACGATGTCTTTCCAATGCAAGCATCCGGTTGCATTTTTATCCCACTTATCCTCCAAGGGGATTCTCAGCTGCCTATCTCATTCCTCACCCTCGGACCACTTTGCCCTCCAAACAAGCCTTTGAAATAGCTGAAGCAGGAGCAAATAGCCGCTCCGAGATTACTTAATCATCTCCTTTCGGATTCAGCAGGATGTTCATCCAGATCCCTCCAGAGGACCCTAGTTTAAAACTGAAGATATAAAATTGGGGTGGGTCCCTCTCCAAATGAGTGGGCAAGCTGCTTTCCTAGCTCCAGGATAATAAAAAAACTCTAGCTGCGGGATAATAAAATGCAATTATTTGTAAAAATCATGTTAAGAACAAGGACGGAGCTTCCAAATGACTGCACAGCGGGCCACGACTGACCTCTAGTGGCCGCAGCAGCAAACGACAGCAAGGAGAGCCCTTAAGATTCAGCTGGACGTTCACAAGACCCGGAAGTCGTATTTTAGGGACCCGTCGTCGTAATTCGGGGTGCATCTCCCTTTCCACCGAGTCTGCTCCCGGAGAGAGTGTGGGTTTGCCGAGGAGGGTGTGAGTGCCGCCATCCCTAAAGATAACTTCGGTGCCCTGCAATTGCTGGAGAGGGGAAGCGGCACCTAATTGGGGGCTTTCTGTCGGAGGGACACTAGGCGAGTTTCTAGAGCTCAGTGAGGTCATCGTTGAAGTAGAGCAAAATGGCCGAGGTGAAGTCGTCGGCGTCCATGTTGAGCTGGTAGAACTCCTCGTCTTCATCGGGAATGTCGTTGTTGTGAAGGTTCTTCTCCATGTCCAGGACTTTGCCATGGTACTTCCACGTGTAACTGGCGGCGTGGGCGTTGTAGGGCAGGTAGCGCCTCAAGATCTCCCACATGGTTTCTTCTGAGCAGACCTGCCAGACGGAGCCACGGTTGTCCACAGAACCCACAGCGCGAGACACCCTTGCGCCCCCTGCCCCCCCCCACCTCCTGGGGTCAAGATGGTCAACTTTGCTCGACTTCCACAGGGCCACAAGGTGACTAACTCAGTTTCTGTATATTGAACTGGACCCAGTATAGACCTAATCATAGTTAACCCTAAGCACGTATTGGTTTTTTTTTTTTTCACCTTGGTTTAATCGGCTACGGTTCTTGGAAGACTGTCAAGACAAGTCCTTGCAAGTTTCCTTGCCAAGCATTCTGGGAAGTGGTTTGCCATTGCCTCCTTCCTAGGGCTGAGAGAAGATGGCTGGCACAAGGTCACCCAAATGGCTTTGTGCCTAAGGCCGCGTTACAACTCACGAGTCTCCTGGCGATTAGCCCAAAGTCACCCAGCTGGCTTTCGTGCCTAAGGCGGGACTAGAATTCCCCATCTCCTGGCGATTGGCCCAAAGTCACCGAGCCGGCTTTTGTGCCCAAGGTGGGACTAAAACTCACTGTCTCCTGGCGATTGGCCCAAAGTTTCCCAGGTGGCTTTCGTGCCTAAGGCAGGACTAGAACTCACCATCTCCTGGGGATTGGCCCAAAATCCCCCAGCCGGCTTTTATGCCTAAAGCGGGACTAGAACAAATCATCTACTGGCGATTGGCCCAAAGTCACCGAGCTGGCTTTTGTGCCTAAGGCGGGACTAGAACTCACCGTCTTCTGGGGATTGGCCCAAAGTCCCCCAGCTGGCTTTTGTGCCTAAGGCGGGACTAGAACTCCCCATCTCCTGGCGATTGGCCCAGAGTCACCCAGCCAGCTTTCATGCCTAAGGCGGGACTAGAACTCCCCGTCTCCTGGCGATTGGCCCAAAGTCACCAAGCCGGCTTTCGTGCCTAAGGCGGGACTAGAACTCACTCTCTCCTGGGGATTGGCCCAGAGTCACCCAGCCAGCTTTCATGCCTAAGGCGGGACTAGAACTCCCCGTCTCCTGGCGATTGGCCCAAAGTCACCCAGCCGGCTTTCGTGCCTAAGGCGGGACTAGAACTCCCCGTCTCCTGGTTTCTAGCCTTCGCCAGCACACCAAACTGACACTCGTCTAATTTCCAGCCTTAACCTAACCACGGCCCTACTCGAGCCTGTTGTGTGAATACCCTCAACGTCATCCAGGGACGAGATGGATGGCTCCGAGGGTCTTGGGGTCGGGCCGGGGATGGGCAGGACTCACCTCGAGGGTCTGCTCCTGAGAGGTCAGAGTGTTGATGATCCGGATGTGCCGGGTTTTAGCAGACAAGATGCCTATTTCGTACACGGGGTTTTTCCACCAGGGCACTCCGAAATCGTTGGCCCAGTCCGAGCGGGGAAGAGGCGGCGGGATGTGCACAAAGCGGCCCTGGGGCGTGTAGTACTTGAGGCATCCAGTCAGGGGATCGATGTGTGTCTGTATCTGAAAGGAACAGGCACAGGGTGGAAGGCCCAGATTCAACCATCATCAAACAAGGATGGTTCCCTCCAAAGCACCAGTCCATGAAAGCCACCCTACGGAGGGCTCCAAATCAGCGGAAATCTTTCCTCCTCAAAGGGTCATTTTCCTTCATTCAGCTCTACGTCAAGAAATGAAGTCTTTCAAACACTGGCTGAAGATCGGAAGATCTCGAATTCTCAGCCAGAAAAAGAAACGGGCACTGTGGGATGCAGGCAGTCCTCATTTTACAACCGTCACTGAACCCAGAAGAGAAATAAACACATTACTACGATAACCCCAGAGAGGGGCGGGGGGACCCAAAGTAGCTTTTTCAAAAGGGCAAAGCCCAGTTTGGAACCTGGATGACTGAGGATCACCATAGACCAGGGGTTTTGAAACTTGGCCCTTTGTGGACTTGTGGACTTCAACTCCCAGAATTCCTCAAGTCATTAAAGGGTCATAGTTCCCTCACGCTGGCTGAGGAATTCTGGGAGTTGAAGTCCACAAGCAGGGGTCTTCAAACCTGGCCCTTTGATGACTTGTGGACTTCAACTCCCAGAATTCCTCAGCCAGCGTGAGGGAACTATGATCTTTTTATGTCTTGTGGACTTCAACTCCCAGAAGTCCTCAGCCAGGGTGCCTGGCTGAGGAATTCTGGGAGTTGAAGTCCATAAGCAGGGTTCTTCAAACTTGGCCGTTTGATGACTGGTGGACTTCAACTCCCAGAATTCCTCAGCCAGGCACGCTGACTGAGGAATTCTGGGAGTTGAGTCATCAAAGGGTCCTAGTTCCCTCACGCTGGCTGAGGAATTCTGGGAGTTGAAGTCCACAAGTCATCAAAGGGCCAAGTTGGAAGACCCCTGCTTGTGGCCACGTGGTTGTATGGTGGGGGGGCACAGACGCCAAAACTTTGAATCCACTACCTTTTTTCAGATTCTGCCGTAACTTCCAACGATCACCAAGTGACCGGTCTACCTGCGGGCATTCCCGCTTCCTGGGTCTTGCAAAAGGGCACAGTTTTATATCCAGAGAGCCTGAAGGCTGACCACTCCCGGCTTGGTGTCCCCAGACGGACAGACGGACACTCACGTCTTTGGTTCTCGGGTTGAACCAGTGGCTGATGTCTCTTCCCGCCACTTCCAGGAGAGGCTTCATGAGCAGGTCCCCTGCGCAGAGAGAGAGAGGCCGCTTAGCCAGGGCCCTTTCATCCCGCTCCTGAGTCGGAGGGGGTCAAAAGAGTCAAAATGGCGTCCACCACTGCACCATAAGAAACATACGGAACTGCAGAAAAGGATCCAAGGGTCCATCCATTCTGCCCTATAGAGTTGTTCTTGTTAGATAATGGACGTGTGTTTATGGAAGCAATGCACATTAATAGAGAAAAGGGCTCTCCCTGCATGGATGGGGCCGCCATCTTGACTTTGTTTGACCGCCCCACACCAAGCCTTGAATTTAGCTCTCCAACTGCAATAATAATAATAAAATAAAATAACCCACACATATTGTATCACACCTGTACAACATCTCTAGAGCATTCTTTTTAAGGAAGGATCGTTCAGAAGAGCGGATAAATTTGACTGGCCATTAGAGGAGGAGGAGGAGGAGAAAGTTGGAAGGGACCTTGGAGGTCATCTAGTCCAACCCCTGCTCAGGCAGCTTTCTTCCCTGACTGCCCTTCTTTCTACTCCCGTCTCGGATAACCACCCTTCTTCTTCCTCCTCCCCCTCCTCCTCCTCCCCCCTTCAGGTAGACTGTTTCTCCACCTGGAGGCTCCGCTTGGGAAGCCCCGCCCCGGAAGCTCCCCCCTCCCCCGCCCGCCTTACCCCTGTACTCCTCGGCCAGGGGGCTGAGGTCGTACACCCGCCCCAGGTAGGAGACCCAGAGGTCCCACGGCCGGTTGTGCACCGCCACCTCCCGCGGCGTGAAGAAACGCGGCCGGAAGGAGCCGTCCATCGCATCGCCCCCCTTGGCGCATGCGCCGCGTCCCTCGCTCCCTTGGCAACGCGCCGCCGCAGGGCCCCACGGGAAACGCAGGCTTAGCTCGCAGAGGGCGGGGCCGAAGGAGACAGCCGGACGCGGCTATGGCGTCGCGCGTGCGTGCGTGTATGCGTGCGTAATGCCGCCGGGGGCCCGCGGGGCTTTGTGGGAAGGGTAGTTCCCTCGGCAAGATGGCGGCCCCGCCGCCCCAGGAGCAGATGCTGAGGCAGCCGCCGCCGCCGCTTCCTCGGGAGTCGGACGAAAACGGCTGCGGAAGCAGCGCCCCCGAGGTGAGGGAAGGGCCGGGGCTCGGGCGGGGGTGCGGGGACGCAGGGCCCTTCCACTCACGGGTAGAAATGGGAGGGGGGGTGTTAAAGCTCTCTCCCATCAATGTGGGACTACAAAGCCCATCTGCTAAGTTGGGAAGGGGGCTGGCTTCTAAGTAATATTGTTAATATTATATCTGTGTGGATAACAGTTTAATACAATTTAAAATTTTATTATAGTTAATATAGATAAATATCTATTACGGTATTATATATTAGTGTTTTAGTTTTTACAGTGTGTGTGTATACACATACATATACAAACATATACACATATACACGTGTGTATGTATATATATGTGTATATGTATGTGTATATATATATATATATATGTATATGTGTATATATATACACATACATATATATACACACATATATGCATACATTTACAAATATACATACATACATACATACATATGTATATATAGTTGTTGTTAGTTGCGAAGTCGTGTCCGACCCATCGCGACCCCATGGACAACGTTTGATACACACGTACATATACATACATACATACAGACATACATACATGTATATATCTATGTGTTGGCTGGAGCACCCGGTCTATCAAGAATAGCTATTTCAAGCTCTTTAGCTCTCATCAGCTAGTATACACACACACACACACACACACACACACACACATATATGTATATATACGTAGGTCTTTGGTTATTCGGATTTTCTCCTGCGTAAAATTGGAAGTGTCTTGGCGACGTTTCGACAAAGTCTCATTCATCATCTTCAGGCTGGTGTTTTCGGCTTCGTGCTTCTAGGAGCAATGAAGCAATTTGCTCCTAGAAGCACGAAGCCGAAAACACCAGCCTGAAGATGATGAATGAGACTTCGTCGAAACGTTGCCAAGACACTTCCAATTTGACGCGGGAGAAAACCCGAATAACCAAAGACCTACATACAAACACTCGCAAAAACCTCAGAAAACACACACACACACACTATTATGTATACATTATTATATTATACTATACTACAGGTGGTCCTCGATTTATGACCACACTTGAGCCCAAAATTTCTGTTGCTAAGTGAGACAGTCGTTAAGACAGTTATTATAGAATAGATTAAGGTAATGCGCTTGTGTTGAAAGCAATCCAGGCTACAGCTCTAAAACACCAAGGATGCTGCCGTGGGTGCATATTAGCCTCACCCAACCTCTATAAGGATTAGTGGCTTGATCTCCTTTTGGGAAATTTGGGAGGGAATAAAGCAGTTCTCCTGGACTGAGGACCTATTTGTTCTGCCAGCAGCAAGATCTGACTGCTGGCCCAGCGATGGATTCTATTGCAAATCAGGGCTGTTTCCGAAGGAGGCTGAGGAGGAGAGCGAAGGAACTGGATGAGGCTGTCGGCAGGCCCAGAGGAAGGGAGAGAGGCTTTTGGAGGAGTTGGTGGTGGTGGCAGCGTGCTCCAGGGGTGAAAAGAAGCAAGGCCTCTTTAAGGAAAAGGTGGAAGAGATAGGATCAGGATAAGGAAAGAAGGCGAGGTTGTCATGCAGGAATACAAGCTAATTTGAGGGCTAATCCACATGGAGCTCCGTTTCCATCTGTCCTGTTTGCCATCGTTCGCTCCCTAGAGCAGTGGTTCTCCACCTGTGGGTCGGGACCCCATTTGGGGTCGAACGATCATTTCACGGGGGTCGCCAAACAAGGCTGTCCGCCATTTTTTTTCCCCTTTTCCTTGGCTGTGCTCCTCCCTTTTATTCTATTGGCTTTTGAAAGCCAATAGAATAGATTCTCTTGAATAGCGTCTAATTCTATTGGCTTTCAAAAGTCAATAGGAATTGTCCAGGCTGTCTCTGCCCTGCTGAACTCGCCAAAAGTCCCATTCTGCAAACGGTGCTGCACCAATTGAGTAGTCCTCGACTTACGACCGGTTGAATAGTCCTCGACTTACAACCGGTTGGGGGTCGCAGCATTAAAAAGGTTGAGACTAAAATGGACGATCTGAAACTTGAGCTGGCCATGAACAAGGAGTGTATATCAGAGGTGGTGGCCCTTTGAGAGCTATATGCAACGAAATTTCATTTTGATGTATGCCAATTGGCGTACATTCAAAGTGACAAAGTTGTTGTTGTTGTTGTTACTATTTTTGGGTGTTTCTGGCAGGACCAGGTGGAAGAAACAGCTGACTCGCCCTACCTGCGCGCGCGACGCAAGCTGGAGAACCTCCTGAACAAGAGTTTGCGGATTCGTATGACCGACGGACGGACCCTCGTGGGCTGTTTCTTGTGCACTGACCGGGACTGCAATGTCATCCTGGGTTCTGCCCAAGAATACCTGAAACCCACAGGTGAGTCCCCGCTGCATCCCAGACTGATCCCTGACGACTGTGCCCTCATCCCTCTAAAAGGACGTGGATCTCTTTAGAAGTCAAGTATTCCTAACCAGGGTGCACCCTGAGCTGGGCTGTTTTCTTGCAGACGTTTCATGACCCAACTTGGTTACATCATCAGTGTTAGGAGGGACGGGGGTTTTGCATAATGGAGGAGGAGGAGGAGAACTGCAAGGTCCTTGGTGCTATCTGAGCTAGGTAGTTTTCTGGCAGACGTTTCATGACCCAACTAGGGAACATCATCAGTGCTAAAAGAGAGGAGGTTTGCAGAGGAGGAGGAGGAGGACTGTTGGGTGCTTGGTGCTCTCTGAGCTGGGTGGTTTTTCTGCAGACATTTCATGACCCAACTAGGGAACATCAGTGCTAGAAGGGAGGGGGGTTTGTGGAGTAGAGAAGAAGCAGAGGAGGAGGAGGAGAGGGAGAGTGACTGATGGGTCCTTGGTGCTCTCTGAGCTGGGTGGTTTTCTTGCAGATGTCTCATAACCCAACTAGGGAATGTCATCAGTGCTAGAAGGGGGTAGAGTTTCTTCTCTTTTATATACAAGTGGCTTGATGGTGATCATCAGCCCTGATGATGTTCCCTAGTTGGGTCATGAAATGTTTGCAAGAAAACAGCCAAGCTCAGAGAGCACCAAGGACCCCCCAGTCCTCCTCCTCCTCCTCCTCCTCCCAAACACCCCTCCCTTCTAGCACTGATAACGTTACCTAGTTGGGTCATGAAACGTCTGCAGGAAAACCACCCAGCTCAGAGAGCACCAAGCAACCCACATGTCAACCCTGAGCTACTAATATTCTCTTCTATGAGTATTTCTACGCCGTGAACTGACTGAAAAGCAGAGGCACGATGGGGGGGGGGAAGCGCCTTTGTCTCCCCAGTGATCACAAGGCCAATTTCAATGGGGTGTTTAAAAGCACCCCCCAAACTTCCTACTGGTAAGCTAATAGGGGCAGAGATAGGGTGCTCATCTTCCCCAAAACCAGCCCACCCTCGGGATGCATAAACCCGCAGGTGAGGCTAGATGACCTTGGTGGTCCCTCGAAATTCTATGAGAAGAAGGGGGAAAAAACCCTCATCAGAAGTGGGTTTGTTGGAAAACTGAAGCTAGGGCAGTTAAGCTCAGAGTCTCTCTGACTGTCTCTCTCTCTTTCTCTCTCTGTGTCTCTGTCTCTCTCTCTCTGTCTGTCTTTCTCTTGCTCTCTGTCTCTCTCTCTCTCTCTCTCTCTCTGTGTGTGTCTCTCTGTCTCTCTCTCTTTCACTCTCTGTGTCTCTCTGTCTCTCTCTCTCTGTGTGTGTCTGTCTGTCTCTCTGTCTCTCTCTCTCTCTTTCTCTGTGTCTCTCTCTCTTTCTCTCTCTGTCTCTGTCTCTCTCTCTCTCTCTCTTTCTCTGTCTCTGTCTCTCTCTCTTTCTCTCTGTGTCTCTGTCTCTCTCTTTCACTCTCTGTGTCTCTCTTTCTCTCTGTGTGTCTCTCTCTGTGTCTCTCTCTCTCTGTGTCTGTCTCTCTCTCTTTCTCTATGTCTCTCTTTCTCTCTTTCTCTGTCTCTTTCTCTTTCACTCTCTCTGTGTCTCTTTCTCTCTCTGTGTCTCTCTCTTTCTCTGTGTCTCTCTGTCTCTCTGTGTGTGTCTGTCTCTCTCTGTGTTTCTCTCTCTTTCTCTATGTCTCTCTCTTTCTCTATGTCTCTCTTCTTTCTCTCTCTCTTTCTCTCTCTGTGTCTCTCTGTCTCTGTCTTTCACTCTGTGTCTCTCTCTGTCTCTCTTTCTCTGTGTCTCTCTGTCTCTCTGTGTGTGTGTCTGTCTGTCTCTCTCTCGCTCTCTCTCTTTCTCTCTCTGTGTGTCTCTCTCTCTCCCTCCCCCCCATCTCCTTCAGACTCCTTCTCGGCAGGCGAGCCCCGAGTCCTGGGCCTAGCCATGGTTCCAGGCCACCACATCATCTCCATCGAAGTTGAGTTGGACAGCCTGAACTCCTTGCAGTACGTTTGAACCCATCCCTTGATGCTTGTCGGACACGAGAAGGGAGACGGAGAAGATGGGAGAAGGCCGGCCGAGGGCGGAAACTGCCCCGAAGAGCTGGACCTGCTTTCCTGGCTAAAAATGGGAGGATTCCTAACCATCCAGAGACCTGAGAAAGACACTGACCTGGGAGGACCTTTGTAATTTGCCTGCTCTTTGTTAAATCTCGAACTCGGCACCAGGGCTGTGTGCGCGTGTGCTTGGCTCGGGAAGCTCGCCCTGTTTCCTCTGCCCGCCCTCCTCTTTCCTCTTGGGAGAATCCAGGAATATTGGCTGATCTTTCAGGAGGACCGAATCGATAGTAGCTGAGTAGTGGTGATGGTTAGCAACTATTACGGCCTCCGGCCATCTCGGGGCCAAATCGTTAGAAGCTGGCCTAGATTTGCCAGCAGAATGACCAGCGCTTGGGCCGTGGGGAGGAAGAATTTAAAGCCCCAAAGAGGAAGGCACCAAATTTCTCAAGGAAAATATCCTTTTACGCTTGAGCAAGTGGGAAACCCCCTTCCTTTATTTCCGGCAGAAAAATCTCCTCCAATTTCCCAGCCTTGTCGGGCTCCAATTCCCCCCCCCCGCCCCGCTGCCCATTTTGTTTTTAAATGCACCAATCTCCCCCCACACACACACACACCCCAAATCCTAAAAAGACCTGGCTTTGCTGGTGGGTTCCCCCCTTCTCCTTTCCATCAGAATATATATTAAAAAAAATGTGGGTGGAGAAAGCCCACTCCCACAAATTTGGCCTGTTGAAGGTAAAGCTGAACCTCCACTGGCTTAAAGCTTCAAACCTTAAACAGGAAAAAATGACAATGAAGGTTATCTATCTATCTATTTATCTATCTATCTATCTATCATCTATCTCTATTTCTCTATGTCATGTAATCTATATTTAATCTATCATCTCTATTTCTCTATATCTATATCTAATCTATATATCTATCATCATCTACCTCTGTCTAATATGTTTTATATCTATATCCATCTGTCTGTCTATCTCTGTTTAACATGTTTTATATCTATATCCACCATCCATCTGTTTCTGTCTATTTATCTATCTATCATCTATTTATATTATCATCTATATCTATCTAATCTATATATCCATAATCTCTCTATCCTATCTCTAACATGTTTTATATCTATTTATATCCATCTTCCGTCTGTCTATATATTTCTATCTATCTATCTATCTATCTATCTATCTATCTATCTATCTATCATCTCTCTATTTATATCATCATCTATACCTATCTAATCTATATATCCATCATCTCTCTATCCTATCTCTAACATGTTTTATATCTATTTATATCCATCTATCCGTCTGTCTATATCTATCTATCTATCTATCTATCTATCTATCTATCTATCTATCTATCATCTCTCTATTTATATCATCATCTATACCTATCTAATCTATATATCCATCATCTCTCTATCCTATCTCTGTCTAACATGTTTTATATCTATTTATATCCATCTATCCGTCTGTCTATATCTATCTATCTGTCTATCTATCTAATCTCTATTTCTCTATATATCTAATCTCTCTATTTCTCTATATCATCTATAATCTATATATCTATCATCTTCTACCTCTGTCTAACATGTTTTATATCTATTTATATCCACCATCCATCCGTCTATCATCTCTCTCTATATCATCATCTATATCTATCTAATCTATATATCCATCATCTCTCTATCATCTATCTCTAACATGTTTATATCTATTTATATCCATCTCTGTCTGTCTGTCTGTCTATCTATCTATCTATCTATCTCAGCGGTTCTCAACCTGTGGGTCGGGACCCCATTTGGGGTCGAACGACCATTTCACGGGGGTCGCCAAACAACACAGTCCGCCATTTTTCCCCCCTTTTCCTTAGCTGTGCTACTCCCTTTTATTCTATTGGCTTTTGAAAGCCAATAGAAGAGACTCTCTTGAATAGAGTCTAATTCTATTGGCTTTCAAAAGCCAATAGGAATTGTCCAGGCTGTCTCTGCCCTGCTGAGCCCGCCAAAAGTCCCATTCTGCAAACGGTGCTGCACCAGTTGAGTAGTCCTCGACTTACGACCGGTTGAGTAGTCCTCGACTTACGACCGGTTGGAGGTCGCAGCATTAAAAAGGTTGAGAACCACTGATCTATCTAGACAGGCAGAAAATGGGCACCTTGAATACAGCTTTTTTTTTTTTTTCCCCTGATTACAGAAAATTTCTCTCCCAGCTAGCGGGAATCTTATCTTTCCCTCTTACATTTTTTTTTTTCCCAACGGCACCTAAAATCCGGGCTAAGGCAGAATTAAAAACCTGCATTGTGGAGGCCAACACCAGCAGGCGCGTCCTGTTGGGTGGCTGATGCAGTCTTGCTGACGCAGGACGCTCCTTCCAGCTTCCCAAAAGACGCGGGTGACCCTGAAAGCCCCCTTTCTCCTCTCCCCTCCTTTCTCCGGCCTTCCCACCCCAGCGGCCTTGCCAAAACCGCCTTGGGAAGAGGCAAGGGGCTGTCTTCCAAAATTCCGGCCCAGCCAACCAGCAGGAAGCAGCGGCCTCTATAGATAGAGCAGGGTGTGTGTGTGTGTGTCCTGTCTCTTCCCTCTTCACAATGGACAGCTTGTGCAAGCCAGCAGCTATCCTGGCTTTATCTAATCAGGGATTCCTTCCTCCCCAAAACGCGGAGTTTCCATTCGGGCCCGGCTGGCGCCCGGGGAGCTGATTCAGTTCTTCCTTATCCTGCTCTTGTCGTTGGCTTCCTGTCCTTTTCCACGGTCGCAGCCTCTTTGGGAAGCTGCAAAATTTACCCCTGGGCGGCAGTTTTTTGCTATCGCAAAACTTTTCTGCTTTTTTAATCGAGCAGAGATGCCGTCTCAGACGTCAACCCCACTGCAATGGCCTTTTGCTTTGAGCTACGTGCCGTTGCGGGTGAAGCCCCCTGGGCCGTCGCAGTCCGGAGTAGCACAGAGTGACTCCCTTTAGACCAGTGGTTCTCAACCTTTTTAATGCCGCGACCCCCCCCCCAACGGGTCATAAGTCGAGGACTACTCGACCGGTTGTTAAGTCGAGGACTACTCAACTGATGCAGCACCGTTTGCAGAATGGGACTTTTGGCGGGCTCAGCAGGGCAGAGGCAGCCTGGACAATTCCTATTGGCTTTGGAAAGCCAATAGAATTAGACTCTATTCAAGAGAGTCTATTCGATTGGCTTTCAAAAGCCAATAGAATAAAAGGGAGGGGCACAGCTAAGGAAAAGGGGGGAAAATGGCGGACTGCGTTGTTTGGCGACCCCCGTGAAATGGTCGTTCGACCCCAAATGGGGTCCTGACCCACAGGTTGAGAACTGCTGCTTTAGAGGGAAGAAACAGGCAGAATCAGGAAGGGCTGGGGTCTCCGCCCTCTCTTAAGAGCCCGGTCACCAAGCTTCTAGTCCTCGATGCTAATCTGCAGCTCTGGATGGATGCAGGAAGCTTGACTGTTTACATCAGGGGTCTTCAAACATGGCCCTTTGATGACTTGCGGACTTCAACTCCCAGAATTCCTCAGCCAGCATCTGTGGCTGAGGAATTCTGGGAGTGGAAGTCCACAAGCAGGGGTCTTCAAGCTTGGCCCTTTGATGACTTGTGGATTTCAACTCAGAGAATTCCTCAGCCAGCGTCAGGGAACTGTGGCCCTTTGATGACTTGTGGACTTCAACTCCCAGAATTCCCCAAGCGCCCAAGAGTTTGCCAGAATGCAGCATGGATAGGACAAGAAACAAAGGTGACATCACATATCGCATATTTTTGATAGGGTAAATGTCTTAATAGACAGTGGGAATGTGGCAGATGTAATATATCTTGACTTCAGCAAAGTGAGAGAAGAAAAAAAAACCAGCTGGCTAGGGAATTCTGGGAGTGGAAGTCCACGAGTCTTCAAGTTGCCAAACTTGAAGAAGGCTGATCTAATTCAGTGGTTTTTTTCAAACTTTTAAGAGGAGTGGGTTTCAATTCCCAGAATTCCCAGCCAGGTTGGCTTTGCTGGCTGGGGGATTCTGGAAATTTGAAATTGGGGGGAAAAACTCACACTGATTTATTTTTATATCATCCCTAACAGAAGCAAGTTACCTTCCTTTTGGGGGAGAAACTTTGGGGTGTGTGAAAAGGGGAAACGTCCTCCAATCCAATTTCAGCCCTTCCGGGGAATATTCGAATGGACATTAAATCAGAACATTGGGCGTCCCAAGTTGGGAGTAGCAGCTTGGCACAAGCCTGAAACGCCGGGAGTTCCTGCGGGACGCGATTCCAGGCTTCCCCCGTGTCCGTTGTGCGTTGCGACAGGGAGCTTGCCCGTCTCAAAATCCGTGTTCACGTTTGGGAAATGAAAAGTTGTGCTAAAATGGAGTGGTTTCGTGGGACAGGGAGTTGTGTATAAAACCCTCCTCGGTTTATCCACATTACGAATTGAATTTGCCCTCCGTCTTCGGCACGCAGGCAGTCCTGGACTTAATGACCACAATCAGGACAAGAATCTTTGTTGTTAAGTGGGGCAGTTGCGAAGCCAGCCGTGCCCTTGTTTTATGACCCTTTTTGTTAAGCAAATCACTGCGCGAATCAGACGGCCATTAAGCAAATCCAGCTTTTCCCAGTGATTTTGCTGATCGGAAGACAGCCAGGAATGTCATAAAAGGAGGATCAAGTGATCCTGGGAGGCTGCAGGTGTCATAAATACTGAATTTTGGTCACTGACTAGGGGTTGCTATAAGCTTTTTCAGTGTCGTAACTTCAAAACAGCTGGTCGTAAGTAGAGGACCTCCTGCGTACGACTTACAAGCAGTCATGGAGTGTGTCTGTCGCTAAGCGAAACATTTGTTTGGGGAACTTGGTGCCCGTTTATGCCCTTCCTTGCCACAGCTGTGAAAGCAAATCCCTGCCCGTCATTAAGTGAGTCACACCGTCCTTACGCGAATCCGGCTTCCCCCCCTTGATTTGGCTTGTCCATCGGTCGCCAAAAGGGGATCCCGGGACACTGCAGCTGTTGTAAATATGAGTCAGCTGCCAAGTGTCTGAATTTTGATCACGTGACCACGGGGGAAATGCTGCAACGGTCGTTAAGTGGGAAAAATCAATCGTAAGGCACTTTTTCCAGTGATGGGGTAATTTTGGTCACTAAATGAATTGTCGTTAAGTCGAGGACTGCCAGTATTCTTGTCTTTTTAGACCAGGGGTCTTCAAACTTGGCCCTTTGATGACTTGTGGACTTCAACTCCCAGAATTCCTCAGCCAGGCACACTGGCTTGAGGAGTTCTGGGAGTTGAAGTCCTCAAGTCATAAAAGGGTGATAGTTCCCTCACACTGGCTGAGGAATTCTGGGAGTTGAAGTCCACCAGTCATCAAAGGCTCATAGTTCCCTCACGCTGGCTGAGGAATTCTGGGAGTTGAAGTGCACACGTCATCAAAGGGCCCAGTTTGAAGACCCCTGTTTATTAGACAATAAATTTCCCCAACTTCTTCCCCCCCCCCCCAACCTGGAAAAAATAAAGCAAAACCGCCTCAGATTCTCCATGTACAAAGTGTATTATAATAATAACAACAACAATTAAAAAAGAATTTCTGGTTAATTCGCTCGCAGCAACTTCCGTAAATGCATTAGCTGAGTGTTTTTTTTTTCACCTCGGCAACTTTTTAAAGATGGGCTGGACTTCAACTCCCAGAACGCCCCAGCCAGCGCATGCTCTGGCTGGGGCATTCTGGGAGTCGAAGTCCCTCCATCTTAAAAAGGTTGGGAAAAAAAATCACCGCTTCGCAAGGCAGCAACCGGAACGTGGGGCCAACCGAGCAGGCGTGTCCCGAGTTCGTGGGGCCGTCCCAGCTCCACGCGGCAGATGGAGAAGAAGAGGAAGCTTTTGAGAGTCCTCGCTTAAGAGACGGACTCAACCCCCCCCCCAAAAGTTCATTTTCTTTTCCCGGTGCGTGAAAACAAAGCTGACTCCTCTTGCGCGACGGAGGCGGGCTCCTCCTGGGGATTTGTGCCAGCCAGCTCCTCCGTGCCCAGAGTAAGGCAGTCCATTCCGCCCAGGTGTCTTCGCCAGGCCTCTCCGTGCCACGACTCCCCATACCCCCAGGCCCCCCCTCACACCCAGACCTTCTCCCCAGCGGCATCCAGGTCCTGCGCGCAGCAGCCGCAGCTGCCCACGCTGTGGTAGCGGCTGGCGGGCAGGTTTTTGTAGATGGCCTTGCTGTAGGGCACCAGGCAGTAGCCGAGCTGCAGGCGGCGCGCCAGGCGGCAGTAGGCGGCCAGGGCCAGGACCAGGAGAGGCACCAACAGGGTGAAGCCCACCACCAGCAGGCCCACGGCGGCCGAGTCGTGCAAGTGGCTGGTGCAGTAGTGCTCCTGGGTGTTGAGGAACTGCGGGGAGAAAAGGGGAAAGGGGCCGTCGGAAATCTCCTCTAAGCAACCCAACCGCCGGGCTCTGACACACAAACACACACACACACACAAACACACGTACCAGGGAAGCCGGCTCCTAGGGCACCCATCATCATCATTAATAATAATAATAGTTGGAAGGGACCTTGGAGGTCTTCTAGTCCAACCACCTGCTCAGGCAGGGAAACTCATTTCAGACCAATAATAATAATAATAATACTTGGAAGGGACCTTGGAGGTCATCTAGTCCAACCCACTGCTCAGGCAGGAAACCCTGCACCATTTCAGACAGATAATCATAATCATAATGATAAAGTTGGAAGGGACCTTGGAGGTCATCTAGTCCAACCCACTCCTCAGGCAGGAAACCCTATCCCACTTCAGACAGATAATCATAATCATAATGATAAAGTTGGAAGGGACCTTGGAGGTCATCTAGCCCAGCCCCCTGCTCAGGCAGGAAACCCTGCACCATTTCAGACAGATAATCATAATCATAATGATAAAGTTGGACGGGACCTTGGAGGTCATCTAGTCCAACCCCCTGCTCAGGCAGGAAACCCTGCACCATTTCAGACAGATAATCATAATGATAAAGTTGGACGGGACCTTGGAGGTCATCTAGTCCAACCCCCAGCTCAGGCAGGAAACCCTGCACCATTTCAGACAGATAATCATAATGATAAAGTTGGACGGGACCTTGGAGGTCATCTAGTCCAACCCCCCGCTCAGGCAGGAAACCCTGCACCATTTCAGACAAGTGGCTGTCCAGTCTCTTCTTCAAAACTTCCAGTGTTGGAGGAGGGAGGGAGGGAGGAAGGAAGGAAGGAAGAATAACAGAATAACAGACTCGGAAGGGATCTTGGAGGTCATCTAGTCCAACCCCCGTGCTCAGGCAGGAAACCTTATAGCGTTTCAGACAAAGGGCTGTCCAGTCTCTTTTTAAGACCTTCGTGTTACGTGTTGGAAATGTAAATTGGCGAGAGGCACATATTACCACATGTGGTGGGAGTGCTCAAAAGCCCGTGACTTTTGGAACAAGGTTTAAAAATGGCTGGAAGGAATACTAATGATAGAGATAGAGCTAAAATCAGAACTCTTCCTACTAGGCATAACTACCAAGAAATACGACAAAGGGATACTTTACTTGACGCTACATATTCTCACGGCTGCTAGATTGGCGTATGCACAAAACCTGAGGAATAAAGAAAGTCCAACAGAAGAAGAGGTTTTATATAAAATCCTATCGTGGGCTGATATGGATAGGCTCACAATGGAAATGAAGGACAAGACAGAGTCAGATTACTTTGAAATCTGGGACAAATTCTATTGTTGGTGTGAATCAAGGAGAACTGTTCGGGTTTTAAGTTAGTGTTAAGATAGAGATATATAAAACTGTTATGTTAGTATATAGAGAAACAAATTAGAGACTGTATTGTATAGAAAAATATGTATATAGAGAGATTAAGAATTCTATGTATGATGAGGAACAAATTGTTAGGAATATATACACTGGAAAGTTACGTTATGTCCATCTTTGTTTTTAACTGTTTTATAAATAAAAAACTTTTTTTTTAAAAAAAAAAAAGAACTTCCAGTGTTGAAGAATGGAGGGAGGGAAGGAGGGAGGGAGGGAAGAAAGATAACAGAATAACAGACTCAGAAGGGATCTTGGAGGTCATCTAGTCCAACCCCCTGCTCAGGCAGGAAACCCTATAGTACCATTTCAGACAAAGGGCTGTCCAGTCTCTTCTTAAAAACTTCCAGTGTTGGAAAAGGGAGGGAGGGAGGGAGGGAGGGAGGGAGGGAGGAAGGAAGGAAGGAAGGAAGGAAGGAAGGAAGGAAGGAAGGAAGGAAGGAAGGAAGGAAGGAAAAAAGAATAACAGAATAACTGAGTTGGAAGGGACCTTGGGGGTCATCTAGTCCAACCCCCTGCTCAGGCAGGAAACCCTATAGTACCATTTCAGACAAAGGGCTGTCCAGTCTCTTCTTAAAAACTTCCAGTGTTGGAAAAGGGAGGGAGGGAGGGAGGGAGGGAGGGAGGGAGGGAGGGAGGGAGGAGGAGGAGGAAGGAAGGAAGGAAGGAAGGAAGGAAGGAAGGAAGGAAGGAAGGAAGGAAGGAAGGAAGGAAAAAAGAATAACAGAATAACTGAGTTGGAAGGGACCTTGGGGGTCATCTAGTCCAACCCCCTGCTCAGGCAGGAAACCCTATAGTACCATTTCAGACAAAGGGCTGTCCAGTCTCTTCTTAAAAACTTCCAGTGTTGGAGAAGGGAGGGAGGGAGGGAGGAAGGAAGGAAGGTGGGAGGAAGGAAATAAAAAAAGGGGGAGAAAAGAGGAAGAGAGAGAGAGAGGGACGGCAAGGGAAAGAAGGGAGGGAGGGTGGAATTCTGGGAGTTGAAGGGAGGAAAGAAGGGAGCAAGGGGAAGAGAGAAAAGGGCAAGGGGGGAAGGGCAGGGCGGGAAGGGAGACAGAAAAGAGAAAAGGGAGGAGGGAGAGGAAAGAAAGGAAAGAGGAAATAAAAATGGAAGGGAAAGGGATGGGAGGGGAAAGGAAGATGGAAAACAGGGAGGACGAAGAGTGAGAAAAGGAAAGGAGGTAGAACAGAGGAAGGAAGGAAGGAAGGAAGGAGAGGAGAAAGATAGAAAAGAGATAGAAGGGGGGAGGGCAGAAGAGGGCAATCTCCCCTGAAGGGCAATCTCTCCCCTTCCCCTCTCTTGGGACTTAGCAGCAGCAGCAGGAGGAGGAGGAGGAGGAGGTGGGGGGGCAGCCCGGGCTATGCCTGGACTGTGTCTTTTGGCCCCAGGAGGTTATCAGCCCCCAGCCGGGGCATCTGGCTTGCTTCACCGCCCGGGACAGGCGGAAAGGTGGCAGGCCAGCCGGTGCAGCTTCCCACCAAGAGGGGCCTGGGGTTTCCTGTTGACCAACTTCGGTGCAAAGAAGCAGCCTGCCAGCCCGCAGCATCACAGGAGACTTGCTTTGGGCAAGTGCCCAGACCCATTTCCGAAGGGCGGTGAGCAGCCACGGCTGCAAACTGGTTTTTTTTCCCCCCCCGCCCAGCATAACCACAACAACAATAATCATAATGACAATGATGAAGATGCACTGAAGTTAGTATATCAGGAAGGCTTACTGACTACTGGAGAGACCAAACCGGCCTACAAGAAAGACCAAATGAAGAACAGAATAGAGGCATGGGAAGGCAAAGCACTACATGGCCAATACATGAAAAAAAAATAGCTGGGAAAGCAGATAATAATAAAACCTGGCAATGGCTAAGAGCAGGAAAATTGAAGAAAGAGACCGAGGGACTAATTCTGGCTGCACAAGACCAAGCCTTAAGGACAAATGCATACAAAGTCAAAATTGAGAAGATAGCAACAGACAGTAAGTGCCGCCTATGCAAAGAAGCTGAAGAAACAGTGGACCACCTGGTAAGCTGTTGCAAGAAGATTGCACAGACTGACTACAAGCAGTGGCATGACAAAGTAGCAACAATGGTGCATTGAAAGATCTGCAAAAAATATCATTTGCCTGTAAGCAACAACTGGTGGGATCATTAAAATAGAGAAAGTCATAGAAAATGATAAAATTAAACTGCTCTGGGACTTCAGAATTCAAACAGACAAGCACCTGCAACATAACACCCCAGACTTAACAATGGTCAATAAGAAAGACAAAAAAGTCTGGATAGTGGACGTGGCAGTGCCTGGAGACAGCAGAATAGACGAGAAAGAACTGGAGAAGATAACAAAATACAAAGACCTACAAATAGAAATAGAAAGACTGTGGCAAAAGCAAGCAAGGGTAGTACCAATAGTAATAGGCTCCTTGGGTGAAATCCCAAAACAACTGGAGCACCACTTGAACACCATTGGCATTGACAAATTCGCTATTAGTCAATTGCAAAAGGCGGCCTTACTAGTTGAAGTCCCCGCAGTCTTAAAGTGGCCCAGGTATTGGACACCTCCGTACTAACACTTCACACTGAATTAGCCAGGCAAAACTGTGCATTTTGTCTGCCTACCAACTAACCCTTGTTGCAGTCCCTGACCTGGGTGTCTCATTCCCACAGGGAGAAGGATCCTGCCCCGTTCATTCCTGAGCAGGCCGCCCCTCATGTTGGTTCTCACAACCGCTGGGACAAACGGATCCAAGGATGCTAGTAAACACATACCCATATTTTTTTTTTATTTTTTGGGGGGATCTTACAAGTCCAGAGAAAGTGCCTGCTCTCTCTCCTCCAGCCCACCCCCCCACAAAGGGGCAGGGGCCTGACCTACCATCTGCTTGCCCACGTGTTGCATTCCACCCAGAGGGTGATGTGCAACACACACACACATATCGCCTTGGGATTCAGGCCGGAGAATTAATCCCAAAACATTTGCCTCTCCCCCCAAGAGGCAGACCACCCCGTAGTAGCCACGTCAACCTGGACGTGCGGAAGGAGCATGGAGGGGGGGGAAGGAGCAGGACTCCTGTGACTGGGGGGGTGGGGTGGGCTCGGGGAGGGGAGAGGGGGAGAGAGGGGGGCAGGAGGCCAACTGAATTCCAAGGCTGGGCCTGGTCTGCAGATCTGGCCACGATCTGGCCAGAATCTCCAGCTGCAAGAGATTTCGCCCTTAAAAGCCCCATGTTTTCTTCACTGCTGCAAATTGCTGGAAGTGGAGCATGTGCAGAGTGCCTTTGGCTCATCCCACCCCAACGTTTAAGGTCTTCTCAGGCTCCAGAGGTCGTGGGTGCTCCAACACCGGAGGCTTTTAAGGAGAGATTGGATGGCCATTTGTCTGGAACGGCAGAGGGACTCCTGATGGAGCAGGGGGCTGGACTAGACGATCTCCGAGGTCCCTCCCAACTCTTGTTATTCTATTAATTTGGAACACCTTGCCTCCAGAAGTCGTGGGTGCTCCAACACTTCAGGTTTTTAAGAAGAGATCGGACAAAGATTCATCTGGAATGGTAGATAGGGACGCCTGCCTGCGCAGAGGGTTGGACTAGATGACCTCCAAGGTCCCTTCCGAGTCTGTTATTCAAAAGCCCACTATGGCTCAGCTACTTCATTTCTCCAGCACGAGAGCGTCCTCCATCCGTACAGAGGCCTTGACTCTCCTCTCTCCCCCACCCAACTTTATCCCAATTGAGGATTTCTGAATTCCTAATCCGGAATGAACATATTCCATGGAGTTTTCCGGCACACGCATGACACGCATGCACATGGATGTGCAGAAAGAGCTGGAATGGAAGTTATTCAAGGGAGACTTGGGAAGCCATTTTAATCATGTTCTTCCCATCCTATTTGTTCAAAGAGATAATAATAATAATAATAATAATAATAATAATAATAATAATAACAACAGCAGCAGCAGCAACAACAACAATAACAATAGACCTGGAAACAACCTTGGAAATGATTGATCATCGCACAGTCAGCCAGATGTTCAGACTGGATTTGGCATTTTGTCTACTTATAGAGTCCTTACCCAAGACCTGGGATAGGCAGAGGTGGATGTTTGATGGTATTGCGACGAGATCTGTAATACCATCCAACATCCACATCTGCCTATCCCAGGTCCTGGGTAAGGACTCGATAGGTAGACAAAATGCCAAATCCAGTCTGAACATCTGGCTGACTGTGCAATGATCAATCATCAATAATAATAACAATAACAATAGCCCTGGAAGCGACCTTGGAGGTCTTCTAGGCAAGAAACCATTTCTGATAAATATATAATATAATAATAAAATTGGAAGGGACCTTGGAGGGCATCTAATCCAACCCCCTGCTCAGGTAGGAAACCCTACCCCGTTTTAGACAAATGACTGTCCAGTCTCTTCTTAAAAACTACCAGTGTTGGAGCATTCACCGCTTCTGGAGGCAGGTAGTTCCACTGGTTAATTGTTCTAACTGTCAGGAAGTTTCTCCTTAGTTCTAGGTTGCTTCTCTCTTTGGTTGGTTTCCATCCCTTGCTTCTTGTTCTGCCTTCAGGCGCCTTGGAGAATAGCTTGACTCCCTCTTCTTTGGGGCAGCCCCTGAGATACTGGAAGACTGCTATCATGTCCCCCCTCGTCCTTCTCTTCATTAAACTAGACATCCCCAATTCCAGCAACCGTTCCTTATATGCTTTAGCCTCCAGTCCCCTAATCATCTTTGTTGCTTTTTTCTGCACTCTTTCCAGAGTCTCAACATCTTTTTTACATGGTGGTGACCAAAACTGGGTGCCGGATTCCAAGTGTGGCCTCACCAAGGCGTTGTGGACTCTAATTTGACTGATCCGTGTTGAACCCTCTTAGTATAGCATCTGCTGGCCCACTACTCAGTCATCCAATTGTTAAGACTAATTAATCAACGGAACTGCTCGCCTGCAGAAATTGGGGGTGCTCCGTCACTGAAGGTTTTTAAAAAGAGATTGGACAATGATTTTTCTGGACTGGTATAGGTCTCCTGTTTGAGCCGGGGGTTGGACTAGAAGACCTTCAAGGTCCCTTCCAATTCTGTTGTTCTGTTATTGTCCCTCTCAGAAAATGCCCCTTTCTCTTTTCCTGCCCACAAACGCACCCCCTTGACCTCAGTTTCCCCCATTGGAGAAATGGATCTTTAGGGACAACAGCAAAACAGGCTTTTGCAAATTTTATTTGTTCAATCTATTTATTTGCTCCAATTTATTTGAGGCTTCTCTCGCCCTGATTCTTATTCTGGGCAGAATTCAGCCGGGGAGTTGAATTCGGGCTGTCGGCAGTTGGCATCCTGGCACAAACCACAATTGGGGAGAAGGTGTTTGAGCTTCAGAAGCTCAGGGCAGGAAACTGGGGAGACCCAAAGGGGGTTCAAGCTAACTTTGGGGGTACACAGGATGGAGGAAATGCTGGCTGCCTTCCGTGGCTGCTTTGAGCCCAGATTTTGATGTTTATTTGGATTGCTGATTAAATTCGCTGCAAGGACACGACTGATGGTGTGACTCTGCCTCATTGTACCAAAATGAGATTTTTTTCCCCCCACCCTCTGGCTACATCGCGGCCTCCTCTTCAGTCTCAAATTTTCACCCCAGGCAACCCCAGTCCCTTTTAAGAGGGTACATCAAGCCCCCCACCCCCTACCAAAGCTGGTAGTTCTTCCCATCACGATAGTTGGAACACTGAAACTTAAGCATGGCTGCTTTATTTAGGTTTTTATTTTTAATTTTTAACTAGCACGCTGCAAATTTAGAAAAAATTCCCCATTGGTCTGTCCCGGACCCCAGAGGAGGGGAGTCAGGTTAATCTACCCTAGCCCCAAATCAAGAGGAATCTGGAAACAGCTTTTCCCAAACTCCCGGATTTCATTCCAAGGCGGAAAAAAAAATCCACAATGGATGATCCAGGAAAAGAACAAGGAGTGTCCAGCCTCCTCGGAGACCCTGACCCATTTTGCACAAGCTCCAGATGATGAACAACTACTGGTGGCCAGCTGTTCCACTGGTTAATTGTCCTCAAAAGTTTGGAAGTTTCTCCTTCGTTCCAGGTTTGCTTCTCTCCTGGATGAGTTTCCGTCCGTGGCTTCTTCCCCTGCCTTCTGGCGCTTTGGAAAATAAGGGGACCCCCTCCTCTTTGGGGCAGCCCCCCCAAATACTGGAATGCTGCTATCATGTCCCCCCCCCCACCCGTAGTCCTTTTTTTCTGTAGACTGGCCAAACCCAAATCCTGCAACTCTTCTTCCTCTATTTTAGCCTCCAGTTGCTTTTAACCATCCTAGTTCCACTTCTTTGCCCTTTCCCCAAAATCTCAGCATCTTTTTTTGGGGTAATGTCTTTTTTTTTGGGTTAAAAAAAATATATATTTTCAATTTTACATTACATTCATAAAAAATACTTCAGATAAAAGAGTAAAATAAATTTATACACACAATACCGAAAGTTTTTGGATAATGTCTGAATGCCAATGCAGACCTGGGCAAGGCCCCTCCATGTGCCGCACACACTGTGCTCAGGCAAACCTTTGGGGGGGACGTGATTTCCAACACCAGGACCCCCAGTCCTTTCCCCAGTCTTAAACCCCCCCCCCAAAAAACACCCTGAATATTAAAAAAAAAAAAACCAGCCTCCCCTTCCCCACTGGAGGGGCCCTGCAGCCTGTTTGCCAGGGGGGAAAGCTGCTGCTTCAGGTTCCTGGCCCCTTCCCCAAATTCCACCTGCTCCCTCCCTCCCAGTTTCAACCCCCCCCCAATTGGGGGTGCTGGGGGGGGGGGCTAAGCAGGACCACTGACCTTGGAGTGGCAGAGAAATCCGAAGCCCAAAAGGACCCCGGCCGGCAACAGGACCAGCCCAAAGATGCATCCAGCCAGGAGAAGGTTGAGCACGCCGATCAGCAGGTTTTGGAGAGTGACCAGCACTGCACAAGCCCAACAATCTAGAGACCCTCGGAGCTCCAGGGCCCCCTCCCCAGCATAAGGAGGGGGGGTGAGTGGCGAGGTCCCCGGGCCCCCCTCGCACTCCAGGGACCCCCGCCCCGGCTTGGAGGAACTGAGGTCTAAGGTCATACTTGCTGGTGACTTCCTTAGCTGTCTGGCTGGGCTTAAGCCGGAGATATGTTTTATAGGCGCCCCCTCCCCCTTCCCCCCCCCCAGCTTCCCTCCCTCCAGGATAAGCTAGGAATGCACACACACACACACACACACACAGAGTGCAAAGCACAAAGCCCCAACACACACACACACACACACACACAGGGGCAAAACCTGCCTCTCCCCAGGATGCTTTAAGAGGCAGCCCCCCCCTCCTCTCTCAGCAGGGGAAGGGTCTCCCTCCCCTTTGAATTCCAGAGATGCTTCTTACGGCCATCCTCACCTCTGCCTCCCCTTCCCCAAAATGGCACAGAGCCCCCCCCCTCCCCTGCTTGGGCCCTGGCCAGATGTTGCTGTTTGGGGAAAACCCCCCCCCCCCCAAAAAAAACAGCCCACCACCCATTTTTTAAATCTGGGGAAAAAAAAACCAAAGCACCCATCCAGACAGGCTGGACTGGTGTCGCTTAAATTTTGGGGTGCCTGTTTAGGGCAGAGCGTCGGCCTGGGGTTAATTGGGGTGCAGGGGAGGGGTCTTTGCACCCACCCTGTCCAGTTTGGGAGTCAGGAGGCATTCCCCCCCCCCACTAGATTGCAAAGCAACGTTTTCCAGGTTTAAAAAGAGGCCTTTGCTTCCCTCACACTCATACACACACACAAAGCCCCCCTTTTTTTAACAATGGGGATCCGGTGCCCCCCCCCCCCGCCCGCTTTAGGCATCCAATCCACAGCTCATTAGATCAAAAAGCAAAAAGGAGGAGGGGAGGTGTAAAAAAAAAAATAAAACACCCAAAAACCAGGTTGGTTCATTTTATCTCTGTGAGTTAATTTAATTTTTTTTTTCTTTTTTACATTTACAAAATAAGATTTGCTTTCTCCTCGTCCCCTACAGTACATTTAAGAATCCGTTTTGTGTGGTTTTTTTGTGTGTGTGTCTGTGTGTTCTTCCCAAAAAGTTAACGAAGAGATCTTCATCTGTTTAATTACAGTGTGTCCCGGGGAAGGAAATCTGGGTTGTTGTTTTTAAAAAAAGTGCAGGCTTCAGAAGAAAGATTTATTTTTTACAGTCTAGGATAGGATGAGATTCTGTTCAGGAGGAAATCAACAAATGAGAATCAACTTTTTATTTTCTCACACACCCCCTCGACCCCCTCCCCACATTTACCCCCCCTTCCCCGTCCCACCTAACCTCGTGAGAAAAAACATGAGCATTAACGTCCAGGAAACAGTCCTGACAAAAATAAAACATAACAATTCCAGAGAGAAACTCAAAAGGACTGATGGAAAAAGAGAGACGTGTCTTTAAAAACAAACAAACAAAAAACTCCAAAACAGGTACAACATTTTAAAAAAGATGTTTCTTTAAAAAAAAAAAAGCAAAAAAAAAAAAAAGCTGGATCAACCCAAAAAAAACCACCCCCCAATAAAGGACCAATAAATAGAGAAACCATTATCGAACAACCAAAAAACAAAAAAAAGACGTATAAATTAAAAAAGAAGAGAACATTTATAAATTGTAAAACAATTCTGACACGCGGAGGTAAAAATTTAAAAAAAAAAAAAAACCACGAGAAGAGAGGAAAATTACCCCAAATCAGACATTTTTTGTTTTCTGGTTTGTTTTGTTTTGTTTTAAGCGAACTGGGAGTTAGAACTGTCTAGCTTTTTAAAAAAATAAAATAAAAATTAAAAGATGATAAGCCGGTGGAAAAAAAACCACAATTAAATAATCACATCGGTTAAAAAATGAACTATTAACGGGGGAGAATTAAGAACATTGAATAGTTAAGCGGAAAGGAAGGCTACGATTGCGTTAAGTTACACACCTAACAATCTTAACAAAAGCTAGGACAGTGTTGATAATGTTTCCCCCACCCCCCGCCAAATTTTGCCAAATTTTTTTTTTCTCCCATCTACCCGTCTGTCTCTGATTTGGGGCAAGCACCATATATACCATTTTTTTGCACAGGGTTGTAACTTTTACTATCCAAAGGCGTTGCACGGTCAAAATTTCCCGCCCCCCCTTCCCGTGCCTTGCACCGACAACTCCGCCTGCGCTTGTGTGTGTGTATGTGTGTGTGTATATGTGTGTGTGTATATATATATATATATATATATATATATATATATATATATATATATATATATATATTGTTTTGTGTATTTTTGTCTTTAAAAGCAGTTTCTAATACAAACCAGATTTTTTTTCTCCTTATATTTATATATATATATATATAATATATAAAAGGATGTAAGAAATCAAATGTCCATCAGAATAATTAAAAAAACACACACGCAAATTGTCCCTGGCCCCCGCCCAGCCAATATATATAAATCAATGTACACTCTCTTGATTGACACCCCCCAAAAAACCAGAAATTCACCCAGAGAGAACTGAACCCATAAAAGTCCTGTGTTAAGAAACCCGTATTAATTTTTTTTTTGCTTGCTTGCTTGCTTGTGGTTTGTTTTTTTTTTCCTTTGTTTTTCCAAACTTTTTTTTCTCTCTCTCAAAATTTCCAACCACACACACACCCCAAAAATAAAAAAGTAAATTAAACGAACAAATAAAAAAAAAATAATAATAATAAACTATGCCGGGCAGCCTCTCTGTTCCGCAAATCCGTAAATGTTCGTGCGAATCAGCTGCAATCTCTTCGTTCCTCCGAAGCCCATGATGCTCATCCCGGGGAGGAGGGTGGGGGGGGGGAAGGCACGCGGAAGTTCGACGCTAAGAGGGACGCAGATCCTGATCCCCGCTTAGGAACGGAGTTCATCGTATTCGTCCTCATCGTCCGTTTCGGATCAAAACGTCATTGTTCTTCGCCCCCCCTTATTTATTTTTTTCCAAAAAAATAAAAAAAGTTCAGAATTTATCGATCGATTTATTGTCTTCTGGTTTTTTTTTTTCCTCTTTTCGTTTCCAAAAAAATAAAAAATAAAAAAAATAAAATTATTTTAGCACCACCCAGGAAAATTAAAAAACAAATAAAAATAAAGAGGTTCATTTTGTGTGTGTGTGTGTGTGTGTGTGTGTGTGTGTTTGTTTGTTTGAAGAAAAAGAAGAAGAATAAATTAAAATGAGGGTCCTCGTCGGGAAGAAACAAAGCTTGCGGCCGGATCCGTGTCGCTCCGGCTCAGGGCGGCTGGCGAGGAAGCAACGGAGGGGAAACTGAGGCTCGGCTTTTTTTTTCCGGAGGGGGGGGGAAGCAGAGAAGGGGACTACAGCACCTTCTGCTCCCCCGACACTCACAGTGGGAGTAGGAGAAACTAGCACGGGGAAAAGTGAGCCCAGACATCGGTGCCTGGGGTTGATATGGCTCATCTTGAACTCGGCGCCGCAGCCTGCAAAAAAAAAAAAAAAAAGGGGGGGGGACGTGTGTCAATCAATCCCAATCCTCGTTTTTTTTTTTTCCTTTCTCTAATCCAGTGGTTCTCAGCCTGTGGGTCGGGACCCCATTTGGGGTCGAACGACCATTTCACGGGGGTCGCCAAACAAGGCTGTCCGCCATTTTTTCCCCCTTTTCTTTGGCCACGCCCCTGGCACCCGGTGATGTATAAGTGGTTGGGGGTCACCACAACATGGGGAACTGTATTATGGGGTCGCGGCATTAGAAAGGTTGAGAACCACTGCTCTAATCAATCTGGGGAAGATCTGGGCAGGATGGCACATTTCCCCCCCCTCCCAAAAGTACAGGTGGTCCTCAACATACGACCACCATGGAGCCCAAAAGTGAGCTTTGCCCCATTTTAAGATCTTCGGTTGATAGGTGGATCACCGCGGTCGATAAGTTAAAAAAAGTGGTTGGACTAGATGACCTCCATGATCCCTTGTTATTCTGTTATTCCCTTCCTTCCTTCCTTCCTTCCTTCCTTCCTTCCTTCCTTCCTTCCTTCCTTCCTTCCTTCCTTCCTTCCTTCCTTCCTTCTTCCCTTCTCCAACACTGGAAGGTTTTAAGAAGAGACTGCATAGCCATTTGTCTGAAATGGTAATAGGGTTTCCTGCCTGAGCAGGGGGTTGGACTAGATGACCTCCAAGGTCCCTTCCAACTTTATCATTGTGATTATGATTATCTATCTGAAATGGTATATAGGGTTTCCTGCCTGAGCAGGGGGTTGGACTAGATGACCTCCAAGGCCCCTTCCAACTTCTACTTCTACTACTACTGCTACTTCTTATTATTATTATTATATTACTACTACTAGTAGTATTATTATTACTACTACTATTAATGATCCGCCAGAGGTGATCCGGGCAAAAGGATCTCCTCCGTGTTCCCCCCCCCACTTTCAGACCCTCACCAGAGTGAAGCTGTCGTAGATGCTGATCAATTCTTCCGTCTTGTACTGTTCCAGCACCACGACTCCGTGCAGAGAGGAATTCCGTTTCCGGGCACAGGCCTCGCAGTGCACCAGGTAGCTGTTCTTGCTGCCGTTCTCGCTCGTCACGAAGAGGATGTTGAACACCTCCACCTGCCGGGGGGGGGGGAAGAGAGGGGGAGAGAGGAGGGTCAGTTTTCCTCCTACCGGGTGGGATCCCACCTTCCCTGCCTGCCCAGCCGGAATCGCCCCGAGGAATCTCAGTCGAATCCAGGGATCGGTCCGGGTGGCTGCTAGCCCAGCTCCCCACCCTGCCTTGAGCAACTGAACCGCCACCCGGGAGGCTTTTAAGGAGAGACTGGACAGCCATTTTGTCTGAAACGGAACAGGGTCTCCTGCTGGAGCGGGGGGGGGGCTGGACTAGAAGACCTCCGGGGTCCCTTTCCACTGTCTTATTCCATGAATTAATCAGCGGGACGGCTTCCCTCCAGAAGCTGCGGGTGCTCCATCCCTGGGGGCTTTTAAGAAGGGACTGGACAGCCGCTGGTCTGAAATGGAACAGGGTCTCCTGCTGGAGCGGGGGGTGGGGTGGGGTGGACTAGAAGACCTTCCCAGGTCCCTTCCGACTCTGTCGTGCTCTTAGCCACCCCAGCAGTAGCTGGCACGGTATCGCTCCCTACTTTCTCAACCCAAGCCAACAAAACAGCTTCTCCGCCGTCTCTCCCTACCTGCCCCGTCGAGGCCTTCTTAAAACCCTCAAATTTTAAACCCTGCCCTAAATTTTAGCACGCTCTTCGAAAAAGGGGGAAGGAGAAAGAATCACGCCACTAGTAGCCCCCCCCCCTTATATACCAGGAAATGATGCCCGAGACCGTTGTCCAACATCCCATGGAGAAGGCCCCAAGTGCTATATCAAGATAGCCCCGGGCTTCTCTACCCTTCTGCTTTTCTCAGCTGGCTTGGCTGAGGACAATGGGTGCTGTAGTCCAAAGGGAGCTGCCGACTGACTGCATTTGGACCGGAGGCAGAACCGAGGCCCCCGCTTCACCGTTTAACTGACTGACTGGGTGGCTTGCAAAATACGGTGCAAAATTACAACATTACGATCATACATTTTTTTAAAAAAAATCTTTATTTTCGATCAATAATCTCTCATGTCGAACAGAAAAGGGAAAGGGCACCAAAAGGTGAGCCCTCCGTAAAGGTCACCCCATGGGCGACGTTGTCCTCCCAATCTTCTAAGCTAGGAGGGGAACCCAACTAGGATGTCCAGTTCGCCGTCTCGCTGGGGGATACTGGAGTCAACACCAAGAGGTGATGTAAGACAGGGGTCTTCAAACCTGGCCCTTTGAGGACTTGTGGACTTCAACTCCCAGAATTCCTCAGCCAGCGTGAGGGAACTATGACCCTTTGAGGACTTGCGGACTTCAACTCCCAGAATTCCTCAGCCAGCGTGAGGGAACTATGACCCTTTGAGGACTTGCGGACTTCAACTCCCAGAATTCCTCAGCCAGCATGAGGGAACTAGGACCCTTTGATGACTTGCGGACGTCAACTCCCAGAATTCCTCAGCCAGCGTGAGGGAAGTAGGACCCTTTGATGACTTGTGGACTTCAACTCCCAGAATTCCTCAGCCAGCGTTGAGGGAACTATGACCCTTTTATGACTTGTGGACTTCAACTCCCAGAATTCCTCAGCCAGCATGAGGGAAGTAGGACCCTTTTATGACTTGCGGACTTCAACTCCTAGAATTTCTCAGCCAGCGTGAGGGAACTAGGACCCTTTTATGACTTGTGGACTTCAACTCCCAGAATTCCTCAGCCAGCGTGAGGGAATATGACCCTTTTATGACTTGTGGATTTCAACTCCCAGAATTCCTCAGCCAGCGTGAGGGAAGTAGGACCCTTTGATGACTTGTGGACTTCAACTCCCAGAATTCCTCAGCCAGCGTTGAGGGAACTATGACCCTTTTATGACTTGCGGACTTCAACTCCTAGAATTTCTCAGCCAGCGTGAGGAACTAGGACCCTTTTATGACTTGTGGACTTCAACTCCCAGAATTCCTCAGCCAATGTGAGGGAATATGACCCTTTAATGACTTGTGGACTTCAACTCCCAGAATTCCTCAGCCAACATGAGGGAAGTAGGACCCTTTGATGACTTGTGGACTTCAACTCCCAGAATTCCTCAGCCAGCATGCCTGGTTGCGGAATATTGGGAGTTGAAGTCCACAAGTCATCAAAGGGCCAGGTTTGAAGACCCGTTTGTGAACTTCAACTCCCAGAATTCCTCAGCCAGGCAGGCTGGCTGATGAATTCTGGGAGTTGAAGTCCACAAGTCATAAAAGGGTCATAATTCCCTCACACTGGCTGAGGAATTCTGGGAGTTGAAGTCCACAAGTCGCGACCCACAGGTTGTGAACTGCTGGTTTAGGGTCTCCTGCTTGAGCATGGGAGTAGACTAGAAGACCTCTGAGGTCCCTTCCAGCTCTGTTATTCTGTGAAGTTTGGAATCCCAAATGTCCTACAAGTTGGACTTTGTGGACCATAAGTGGACCCTGCTCTGGGTTAACAGCCCAGTCCTGTCTGACTGGCAAGCCAGCATATCATTGGCTGAGTCATTCCTGAGATATGGTTCCCTGGTCAAGTTGAGGCTTCCATTCATCCATGGAGCTTCCACAATTCTTAGTCTTGGTCAAGTCGAGGCTTCATTCATCCATGGAGCTTCCACAATTCTTAGTCTTGGTCAAGTCGAGGCTTCATTCATCCATGGAGCTTCCACAATTCTTAGTCTTGGTCAAGTCGAGGCTTCATTCATCCATGGAGCTTCCACAATTCTTAGTCTTGGTCAAGTCGAGGCTTCATTCATCCATGGAGCTTCCATAATTCTTAGTCTTGGTCAAGTCGAGGCTTCCATTCAGCCATGGAGCTTCCATAATTCTTAGTCTTGGTCAAGTCGAGGCTTCCATTCATCCATGGAGCTTCCTCAATTCTTAAGTCTGTCTTCCTAAGCTCGATTTCTCTCTGATTTTTCAAGGCTCTTCAAGAAAGCGCCTGGCCAGCTTCCTCTGAACTCAATTTAGTTGCATCGAGGTGGCTTCCGCACCCAGACTGAAGACTTTCTGATCCTTCTTCCCCTCTCTTCTCGGTCGTTCTTCAAACTCTGTAACGGAGTTGACCAACTTCTTTTTCTTCTCGGTTCCACCTTCTTCCTTCCCCGTCCTTCCTTCCTTCCTTCTTCTTCTTCTTCCTCTTCTTCTCCTCTCACAGAACCACGCGCATTATACTCACTGTTTTTGACCTCTTCACCTCACTACGGTTCCACGTCTCCACCACTGTTGGGCAAGGAGGGTGGGGAGGATTAAGAATCCTTTACTGGAGATGGGGCAGAGGGCATACAGGTAATGTAAAGACACACAAAGCTAACGCACCCCCCCCCCCGTGTGGTCGGAAAGCTTCGCCGGGGCCCTTTGGGAAAAGGAGGTGACGGTCGTCGCGATGACGACCGTGGATCTATGGATCGGTCTCAGAGGCCACCCTGAGATGGTCCAGGAGGATGTGTCCCCACACCCAACTGACCAAGTGTTGAAGGATCTGCTGGAAAGAGGATCTCTAAGGGAGATGGCGATCAAGGCTCCCTCTTGGCCCCAAACTGTGGGTCGATCTGGATCCAGAAGGGGCACTAAGTCAGGACCCCCCTCCCATGGTCTAGCGTCGGCTTCGGAAAAGAAGCAATGGAGAACAGAGAGACAGACAGAGAGAGGAAGAGGGAGAGAGAGAGAGAGAGAGAGAGGGAGAGAAAAAAAGAGGGAGAGAAAGAGGGAGAGAGAGAAAGAGGGAGAAAAAGGGAGAGACAGGGAGAGAGAGAAAAAGAGAGAGAGAGAGAGAGAGGGAGAGACAGGGAGAGAGAGAAAAGAGGGAGAGAAAGAAAGAGAAAGAGAGAGAGAGAAAGAGAGAGAAAGAGAAAAAGAGAGGGAGAGGGAGAAAGAGGGAGAGAGAAAGAGAGAGAAAAAGAGAGAGACAGGGAGAGAGAAAAAAGGGAGAGAGAGAGAGGGAGAGAAAGAGTGAGAAGGAGAGAGAGAGGCAGAGAAAGAGAGAGTGAGAAAGAGAGAGAGGGAGAGAGGAAGAGGGGAAGAGGGAGAGGGAGAAAGAGGGAGAGAAAGAGAGGGAGAGAGAAAGAGAGAGAGAGAGAAAGAGAGACAAGGAGAGAGAGAAAAAAAGGAGAGAGGAAGAGAAAGAGTGAGAAAGAGAGAGAGGCAGAGAGAAAGAGAGGGAGAGAGAAAAAGAAAAAGAGAGAGAGAGAGGGAGAGGGAAAGAAAGAGGGAGAGAAAGAGAGGGAGAGAGAAAAAGAGGGAGAGAAAAAAAGAGAGAGAGAGAAAGGGAGAGAAAGAAAGAGAGAGGCAGAGAAAGAGAGAGAGAGAGGAAGAAAGAGAGAGAGGGAGAAAGAGAAGGAGACAGAAAGAGAGAAAGAGAGAGAGGGAGAGGGAAAGAAAGGGAGAGAAAGAGAGGGAGAGAGAGAAAAAAGGGAGAGAGAGAGAAAGGGAGAGAAAGAAAGTGAGAGAGAGGCAGAGAAAGAGAGAGAGAGGGAGAAAGAGAGAGTGAGAAAGAGGGGGGGGGAGAGAGAGAAAGAGAGGAAGAGAGAGAGAGAGAGAGAGCCGCAACGCATTAAATCTGCAGCCACCACCACCACCACCACCACCACCGCAGTGGCGGCAGAGACACCCTCGGGCCCACCCGGCGGACTCTTACGTCGCATTCGTTGCAGTAGTAGGCCGGCTCATCCTTCACCCGCCCCTGGTAGGCGATCTTCTTCCCGGATCGGACGAGGCTTTCCCGCTGGACCTGGCCGTGCTTGATGGACTGCATCAGGCAGTATCTAAATAAAAGAGAGGAAAGTCAGCCCCAACACACACACACATACACACACACACACACACACACACACACACACACCACCGCCAGGAGGATGCTCCTGGGCGCCGTACAGGCAGTCCTCGCGTCACGACCGTCCGTTCGACGGTACGACGGCACTGGAAGAAAAAGCGATTTGAGCCCGGTCCTCCCACTTACAACCCTCGCAGTACAGGTAAGTCCTCGACTTACGACGGTCCCTTTACTGACCGTTCCAAGTTACAGCGGCGCTGAAAAAATAGGGTTTTAGGACCCGTTTTGTCACACTGAACGACCGTCACGTCATCTCCCACGGTCACGTGCTCAAAATTCGGAGGCTTGTCAACGGGTTCGTTATTTACGACGGTCGCAGAGTCCCAGCAAGTTCACACGATCCTCCCCCCCCCCATTTGTGACCCTCTGATCAGCCAAGTCTAGGGGGAAATCCGGATTCGTTGAACGACGGTGTCGCTAACTGAACCGCTGCCGTGCTCGACTTATCAACTGTGGCGGGAGAAGTGGTAAAAACGGGACAAAACTCCAACGTAACGCATTTCTCACTGAGCCGCAGAAATTCGGGGTGCGATCATGGCCGTAAGGCGAGGACCACCCGTCCTAGGACAGGGAAGGCCGGTTTTGGCCCACACCAGGCGCGGTCAAGAGTAAAACCCACTCACTTGATCATCTTGTACAAGTCGGAGTCGCTGATCTTCACCGTGCGGGCGACGTTCCAGGAGACGTGGATCATGGGCACGATGGACTTGACGTTCTTCACCTCATTCCACTCGTAGCGCTCGAGCGCCAGCTGGTACTGGTACGCTGGGGAGAACAAAGGTCGGTTGGCAGGTCCACAAATCCACGGCAAATTCCAGGTCTCCGGAATTAGTGGACGCGGAAAGCCCACCTTGCGTTTTTGTTGAAAGATTGGCGCCCGATTGTAGGCGCCACACTTTTTTTTAAAGGGAAGATTCAGATAAATTAAATTTAAATGGAAGTGCTATACACTTGGGAAATACTGCTCTTGGGTTGGCCCAAGCAAGGAGGGAGGGGTCTGCAGGGGTCTTAAAACTTGGCCCTTTGCTGACTTCTGGATTTCAACTCCCAGAATTCCTCAGCCAGCGTGAGGGAACTAGGACCCTTTGATGACTTGTGGGCTTCAACTCCCAGAATTCCTCAGCCACCGTGAGGGAACTAGGACCCTTTGATGACTGGTGGACGTCAACTCCCAGAAGTCCTCAGCCAGCGTGAGGGAACTATGATCCTTTGATGACTTGTGGACGTCAACTCCCAGAAGTCCTCAGGGTGCCTGGCTGAGGAATTCTGGGAGTTGACGTTCACAAGTCATCAAAGGGCCAAGTTGGAAGACCCCTGTCCCAGCGAGTAGGATCCACACAGGTTGGGTTGAAGCTACAAGAAATGAGGTTCTCTCCGGAGGAACCTCCTGAACGTACGATCAATTGGACAAACTGTCTCACAACGGGCCGAGTTCTCCTTCATTGAGAAGGTCACCAAGTTCCAACCAAGGCAGTATCGCCCTCTGTCAAGAACGTCCTACTGAAATGGATCCAGTCTTGAGGAGCACTTGATCTTCTAAAGCCCCCTAAGGTGCACCGGGCACTCTTCTGATTTGGAAGGTGAGACATGGTCAATTTCAAAGGCCAGTCTTGAGGAGCACGTGACCTTCTAAAGCCCCCTGAGATGCACCAGGCATTCTTTCAGCTTGGAAGGGGGGACACGGTCAATTTCAAAAGCCAGTATGGCCAAAGCTCCTATCCTCAAAAGCTAGCAGGTCAACCACCTCCTTTGGGAGTCCACTCCAGGCAGGACAACAGACCTCCTTCTCCAGCCCCTCCCTCGTCCTACCTGTCAGGGGACCGACGTTCCAAGCGATGTTATTGCACCATCCCGTGGCCTGGACCCAGTGTACGGTCCCGGCGTTGATCCACACCAGGTCTCCCGGACGCTGGATGAAGCGGTAGACGGGGATGTTGGATTGGTAGAGGTCTTCTAAGATAGGCCACCAGGACCCGGTCAGATAATCTACCCCGTGCCTGCAAAGAAAGTCAGGTTGAGACCGTTGGGCAGTCAGGGATCTCCTCCCCGTCAGAAGAAGCTCTTGACGCAACACCACGGAGCTTGCGCACGACCTCCTTTGAGATGGTTCCTCTCCCCTCGCTGCTCCTCAGAAGGTTCCCTCTACCACCTTCTTCCTTCTCTCTCTGGCCCAGCTCTCCGTGATCCTAAGTCTGAGGAGATCCCTCCAGGTATCGCCCCAAAGCCCTACCTGTCACAGAAGGCGCTGATGTTCTGCCAGTAATGTTCGTGGACGGCAAACCACTCGCAGTCCCCGGGTCCAATGTTGATGTTCACGGAGCAGAAGTTATTGTTCTCCTGGTGACCTGCAAAGGAGCCACAGAGTTAGCAGCTCGGCGTGGGGAGGTCTCCTGGTCTCCATCCCCCCCAGCGGGGTCTCTTCAAGACACAGGAAGTTTCCTGGAAGCCCCCCCGCGGAAGGACTGGCGGGTCACGTGACAGCAGAATCCAGAAGCTCCAGGTTTCTAATCCTGGGGGGGGGGGGGCGCGTCTCCAAATTTGGCCACTTTGAAGACTTGTGGACTTCGACTCCCAGAATTCCTCAGCCAGCTGAGGAATTCTGGGAGCTGAAGTACACAAGTCTGAACAGTGGCCCAGTTTGGAGAGCCCTGGCCTGGCCCTTAGCCACCAGCCTGGATGCCCAGTTTTTGCCCCAGGTTATCCCAGAGATGCTTTTTCAGGAGGCAACTGAATAATAGTAGTAGTAGTAGTAGTAGTAGTAGTAGTAGTAGTAATATAATAATAATAATAATAATAATAATAATAATAATAATAATAATAATAATAATAAAGTTGGAGGTCATCTAGTCCAACCCCCTGCTCAGGCAGGAAACCCTGTACCATTTCAGACAGATAATCATAATCATAAAGTTGGAAGGGACCTTAGAGGTCATCTAGTCCAACCCCCTGCTCAGGCAGGAAACCCTGTACCATTTCAGACAGATAATCATAATCATAAAGTTGGAAGGGACCTTAGAGGTCATCTAGTCCAACCTCCTGCTCAGGCAGGAAACCCTGTACCATTTCAGACAGATAATCATAATCATAAAGTTGGAAGGGACCTTGGAGGTCATCTAGTCCAACCCCCTGCTCAGGCAGGAAACCCTATACCATTTTGGACAAATGGCTGTCCAGTCTCTTCTTAAAAGCTTCCAGTGTTGCAGCATTCACAACTTCTGGAGGCAGAGGGTTCCACTGGTCCCTATTGCCCATCCTCCTGTTCCTAGTGCCCATCATCCTGTTCCCAAAGCAGCCAACCAGCGGCTTCAGTGGAGCCTCCAAGCAAGACAAAAGTTGGCAGCTTTTCCCTCCCTCCCTCCCTCCACAGCTGACGTTCAAAGGTAGAATATGCTCAGATATGGAGGTTCCACCGCAATGTGCTCTGGCCAAGCAGAGAAGGGGGGGGGGTCTCACCTGGGGTACGGCTGCCGGGGACCTTCATGTAGAGTTGCACCGTGTTCATGCCCAGGATGGTGTGGCCCACGTGACTCAACATGTTCCCCGTCGACGTGACACGCATGAAGGCGGGCAGTTTCAGCAACTCCTGAAGCTGCGGTTTCCACCTGGGCCATGTCAGAGAAACAAACGGGTCACCCAAGGTCCGGGGGGCCTGGGAGGCCAACTAGTCTGACCCTTTAGAGGTGGGTCCTCGAAGTTACAGCCATAAGGGAGCCTGCCCCCAACAGCAGTATAAGGTAGTCCTCAACTTACGGCCACAATTGACCCCAAAATTCCCGTCATTGAGACATCGGCTAAGTGAGTTGTGCCCCGTTTTTACGACCTTTCTCACCACAGCTGTTAAGTGAAGCCCTGCAGTTATACTAGTAACATGGTTGTTAAGTGAATCTGACTTAGAAGGCCAGAAGGTCGCAGGGAGATGCTGCGACGGTCGTAAATACGAGTCAGTTGCCAAGCAGTCCGGTCGTAAGTAGAGGACTATTTGTACTACTGCAGGCAGGGCTAGGCCAGGGGTAGGCAACCTTGGCTCTTTTATGACTTGCGGACTTCAACTCCCAGAATTCCTCAGCCAGTGTGAGGGAACTATGATGACTCATGGACTTCAACTCCCAGAATTCCTCAGCCAGTGTGAGGGAACTATGATGACTCATGGACTTCAACTCCCAGAATTCCTCAGCCAGCATGAGGGAACTATGACCCTTAGATGACTTGTGGACTTCAACTCCCAGAATTCCTGAGCCAGCGTGAGGGAACTATGGCTCCCTTGATGACTCGTGGACTTCAACTCCCAGAATTCCTCAGCCAGCGTGAGGGAACTAGGACCCTTTTACGACTTGGGGACTTCAACTCCCAGAATTCCTCACCCACTGTGAGGGAACTGGGACCCTTTGATGACTTGCGGACTTCAACTCCCAGAATTCCTCAGCCAGGCGTGAGGGAACTAGGACCCTTTTATGACTTGGGGACTTCAACTCCCAGCGTTCCTCAGCCAGCGTGAGGGAACTATGACCCTTTTATGACGTGGCTAGGCATTCTGGGAAAAATCAGTGCCCCTGCTAGCCAGGACCTAGGAGAACTGGCACAGCTGGCTCAGGAATTCTGGGAATTGAAGTCCACAGTTGCCCCTTTCTGCCCTTTCAAGTCTTTTCAATGGCTATGATGGCTTCTGGCCACCAGGAGGCAACCTACCCCCCCAGGAGCCCCTTCTTCCTGAAATTCTCATACACCACCACCAGGGGGCAACAGAGAGACACAATAGTGCTTTGCCATAGGATTGAGGGGGGGGGGAAATGGCCTTGCTGCAGTTCCACGAGTGCCCACCGGGGGTGGTGGTGGCGCAAAAGGCTGGGATGAAGCAGCCCAGCCAACGGAGGCCGCTCTAGGAAACAAGCCCTTTTGCATGCAGTGACAGGTCTGAACCCGAAGGGGGCAGCCCAAACAAGCAGATCTTAGGCCAAAAAATAATAATAAAAATAAATTGCTGCCAGTTGCAAAGAGCAACCAACCCACGCAGGGAGTGGAAATTGGGGACGGGGGGGGGTGAAGAGAGGGGAGGGGGGAAAACTATCACTCCGGGGGGAGGGTGCATGATTCCCCCCCCCTCCCACGATGATCCTCACCGCTTGGCGTCCGAGAGGTCAATGTTGGTTCCAAACTTGATTATTTGGTGGGGCTTTTGATCCGGGTTGCTGCGGGGCGAGAACAAGAAACGGAAAAGTGACGACGGGAAAACGGAAAAATCGGCCGGACCAGATGGAGGAAGCATTAAGGTCCCAATTCTTCCTCCCCCATGCCCCCCACCCAGCAGAGAAGACAATGTGACACACACACACACAAACACACACAGAGCATCCTGTGCTTCTCCAGGTCCTCCATTTGTCAGCCAGCAAAACCCTCCCTCGCTCTTATTCAAACTCATGTCCGGCTTCTAGCAAAAAAAACTCCCAAATCCAAAGAATACAAGGCTGTCCTGGACTTACGACCAGGGGACTTCAAACTTGGCCCTTTGGTGAGTTGTGGACTCCCAGAATTCCTCAGCCAGCGTGAGGGAACTGGGACCATTTGATGACTTCTGGACTTCAACTCCCAGAATTCCTCAGCCAGCGTGAGGGAACTAGGGCCCTTTGATGACTTGTGGACTTCAACTCCCAGAATTCCTCAGCCAGCGTGAGGGAACTGGGACCGTTTTATGACTTGTGGACTTCAACTCCCAGAATTCCTCAGCCAGCGTGAGGGAACTGGGACCCTTTTATGACTTGTGGACTTCAACTCCCAGAATTCCTCAGCCAGTGTGCCTGGCTGAGGAATTCTGGGAGTTGAAGTCCAAAAGCAGGGGTCTTCAAACTTGGCCCTTTGATGACTTGTGGACTTCAACTCCCAGAATTCCTCAGCCATTGTGCCTTTGGGCACTGATGATGCTACCTAGCTGGGTCATGAAACGTCTGCAAGAAATCAACCCAGCTCTCAGAGCACCAAGGACCCCACAGTCCTCCTCCTCCTCCTCGCCACAAACTCCACTCCCTTCCAGCATTGACGATGTTACCTAGTTGGGTCATGAAACGTCTGCAAGGAAACAACCAAGCTCAGCGAGCACGAAGAATTCCTCATTTTCAACCTGCAAATATTCTCCTTTCGTGTCCAAAACAAAGGTCACCCGCCGAGCAGGCGGAGGCAGGAGTACTCTACCTGGGCGGCGTTTCTGTGGTGCTGTCCGGTTCCTCGGCCTCCTCGTCGTCGGTCTCTTTGTCCTCCTGCGTGAACAGAGAGAGGAGTCACGACGGAGACCTCCCACCCTTGAATTTAAACAAGGCCGTTCGGCGTGCGGCCCTTATGGGGCGTCAGGAATCCCGCCCGGTCCGGGGTGACGGGATGGACGGACCAAGCTTGGCGATCTCACCTGAAGCGACTCTTGGAACGAGGCCGCTTGGTACTGGGCGTACTTGGCGATTGTGGTGTGCGACCGGCTGCTCTCGCACGGCCAGACCTGCTTGGTGCCCGAGAGGTCCCAGTTCTCGTCCGACGGCTGCTGGACTTGCGTGCGGACCTCCACGGCGTGCTCGCCGCTCGCCTCCACCAGAGTCTTCGTGCTGAACAGCCCCAAATCTGCGGGCGGAGTGGAGACAGTATAGCACGCAGGTCAGACTGCCGGCCCGCGGGCCGGATGCATCACGACGAAACCGCGCCCACCCTATTGCCAGCAATGGGGAAAAAGTCGCGATACGTCGCACGACGTCACAAGATTGTCGTGCCTGCAGTAAAGCGATGGGACGCTGGAGAGCCTCAATCTACACCCACGCCCCCAACTGTAATAATAATAATAATAATAATAATAGTAAAGTTGGAAGGGACCTTGGAGGTCATCTAGTCCAACCCCCTGCTCGGGCAGGAAACCCTACACCATTTCGGACAAATGGCTGTCCAGTCTCTTCTTAAAAACTTCCAGTGTTGGAGCATTTACTGCTTCTGGAGGCAGGCTGTTCCACTGATTAATTGTTCTCACTGTCAAGAAGTTTCTCCTTAGTTCTAGGTTTCTTCTCTCCTTGATTAGTTTCCACCCGTTGCTTCTTGTCCTGCCTTCAGGTGCTTTGGAAAATAGCTTAATTCCCTCTTCTTTATGGCAGCCCCTGAGATATTGAAATACTGCTATCATGTCCCCCCTTGTCCTTCTCTTCGTTAAACTAGACATACCCAATTCTAGCAACCGTTCCTTATACGTTTTAGCCTCCAGTCCCCTAATCATCTTTGTTGCTCTTCTCTGTACTCTTTCTAGAGTCTCAACATCTTTTTTACATCGTGGTGACCAAACTGGATGCAGTATTCCAAGTGTGGCCTTACCAAGGCATTGAAGAGTGGTATTAATACTTCGCGTGATCTTGATTCTATCCCTCTGTTAATGCAGCCTAGCACTGTGTTGGCCTTTTTGGCAGCTGCCGCACACGGCTGGCTCATATTTAACTGATTGTCTACTAGGACTCCGAGGTCCCTCTCACAGTTACTACTGTGGGAAAGATCGGTTTGTGAGTTGGCCTGCTCGGCTCTCCAACACTCAGCCCTCGTTCCATCCGCCCCGCTTGGAAAGGTGAGCGTCTACAATCAAGATCAGCTTACTCTCCCCCCATATCGACTTCCTAAGGAACTACAAAGATCCTCGGCCATTCTTCAAATCTGGGGAGCGGGGGAAAATGATCTTTTCCTTATTGGGAAGTCTGAAGATCTGACTTTCTTTGCTTTGTACTTTATTGATTTAGCCAAATGTGGTTAGAGGCACAAGAAATTTGTCTCTGGGACAGAAGCACTCAGAAGCACTTGCAAAACGACAGAACATAACAATAGTAATAGTAATAATAGCGAGAAGGAGAAGGAGGAGGAGGAGGAGGAGGGGGAGGAGAAGAAGAAAGAGGAGAAGAGGAAGAAGAAGACGAGGAGGAGGAGGAGGAGAAGAAGGAGAAGGAGGAGGAGGAGGGAGAAGGAGAAGGAGAAGAAGAGGAAGAGGAGGAAGAAGAAGGAAATGGAGAAGAGAAGGAGGAGGAGGAGAAGAAAAAGGAGGAAGAGGAAGAAGAGGAGGAGGAAGAAGCAAAAGCAGAAGAACTGGAGGAGGAGGAGGAGGAGAAGAAGAAGAAAAAGAAGAAGGAGAGAAGGAGAAGGAGGAGGAAGAGAAGGAGAAGGAGAAGAAGAGGAAGAAGAAGGAGTAAGAGGAGGAGGAGGAGAAGAAGGAGGAAGAGGAAGAGGAGGAGGAGGAGAAAGAAGAAGAAGAAGAAGAAGAAGAAGAAGAAGAAGAAGAAGAAGAAGAAGAAGAAGAAGAAGAAGAAGAAGAAGAAGAAGAAGAAGAAGAAGAAGAAGAAGAAGAAGAAGAAGAAGAAGAAGAAGAAGAAGAAGGTGGTTAACCAGATGGTCTACTATTTCTTCAGCTTCCGCCTACACAAAGTAGTTCTCCCAGACTGACTACAAGCAGCGGCATGACAAAGTAGTAACAATAGTGCACAGGAAGATCTGCAAGACATACTATTTGCCTGCAAGCAAGAACTGGTAGGGCCGTAAAACAGAGAAAGCCATTAAAAAAAACGAAGCTAAATTACTCTGGGACTGTAGAATTCAGACACACAGGCCCCTGCCCCACAACAATCCAGACTTAACAACTGTGGATAAGAAAGACAAAAAAAAAAAGTCTGGATAGTAGACACGCAGCAGGAACCTGGAGACAGCAGAAGAGAAGGGAAAGAATCGGAGAAGATAACAAAACACAAAAACCTGCAAACAGAACAACTGTGGCCAAAGGAAGCCTAGGTAGTTCCAACAGTCACAGATGCCTTGGATGCCATCCCAAAACATCTGGAGCACTGCTGGAACGTTATCAGCATTGACAAATTCGCCATCAGTCAATTGCAAAAGGCAGCTTTACTCGGAGCAGCTGACATCCTGCGGTGGTGCCTGCCACACCAACAAACACCCACATCTGCCTATCCCAGGTGAGACGGACCAAAACGCCAGATCCAGTCTGAACATCTGGAATATGATGTCACAAACAACAACTGGACTGTCTTGTTTTTCCTTTGAAGGCGTTTCGCTTCTCCTCCAAGAAGCTTCTTCAGCTTTGACTGGATGGTGGGGGAATGGAAGGATCTATACTCCTTGCAGACAGCTGGTCATTTGCCTTCTTTTAGAGGGTCGTTGAGGCTGCTTGGAGGTTTATCTGTGTCATCGGGGTCACCTGAGTGCTGCAAATGGGCGTGGAGCCTCCTTTCAACAGTTCCAAGAAGGCTTCACACCCATTTGCACCGCTCTGATGACCCTGAGGACACAGACAAACCTCCAGGTGGCCTCAACGACTCTCTAAAAATGCAAATGACTAGCTGTCTGTCTGCAAGGAGTATAAATCCTTCCACTCCCCACCATACAGTCAGAGCTGAAGAAGCTTCTGGGATGAGAAGTGAAACGTCTTCAAAGAAAAACAGGAAAGTCCAGTGGCCTCTTGAAAAAGTACCTTTGGGACAACTGAGGACACGGAAAAACCTCCAAGTGGCCTCAACGACTCTCTAAAAGAAGGCAAATGACCAGCTTTCTGCAAGGAGTATAAATCCTTCCATTCTCCACCATCCAGTCAAAGCTGAAGAAGCTTCCTGGATGAGAAGCGAAATGTCTTCAAAGAAAAGCAAGGAAGTCCTGGAAAAAAAAACCACTTTTGGGACAAAGCTCCAAGTGGCCTCAACAACTCTCTTAAAAATGCAAATGACCAGCTGTCTATAAGGTGTATAAATCCTTCCATTCTCCACCATCCAGTCAGCTAAAAAAGCTTCCTGGATGAGAAGCAAAATGTCTTCAAAGAAAAGCAAGGAAGTCCTGAAAAAAAGCATCTTTGGGACAAAGCTCCAAGTGGCCTCAACGACTCTCTAAAAGAAGGCAAATGACCAGCTGTCTATAAGGAGTATAAATCCTTCCATTCTCCATCATCCAGTCAGCTGAAAAAGCTTCCTGGATGAGAAACAAAATGTCTTCAAAGAAAAGCAAGGAAGTCCTGAAAAAAACACCTTTGGAACAAAACTCCAGGTGGCCTCAACGACTCTCCAAAAAAATGCAAATGACCAGCTGTCTATAAGGAGTAGTCCAGTGGCCTCGTTAAAAAAAGCACCTTTGGGACAACCAGGATCTGGTTGACGAAGTATAACCTCCACGGGCAAACCATAACAGTCATACTCACTGAGTCGAAGAGATCCAGCCAGACCCCGGATGACGGTGATGGGGTTCTTGGGATCCGTGCAGAATTGGAGCAACACAGGGGAGAACGCGTCCCGTTTGCTCTCCAACTGAAGAGAAAGGAGATCGTCAGAGGACCTCCCTCCAGGCCGGTCTGGATCCCCCACCCACCCTCTTGCACAAAGCACCCACCAATCTAAAAAAAAAAAAGTCAATTCCGAGAATTCCTCGGCCTGCAAGGCATTCCGGGAGTCGAAGTCCACCCTTTTTAAAGTCGCCAAAAATTGAGGGGCGCTGACCTAGCCTCGTTCCTTGGATCGGCCTGGGGCAAAATCGCTCAGCATCCTACCGTCCGTCCTCCCAATCTCCAGACTCCACGATTCTTTCATTTTGGGAGGGGGGGAGCCATTCTGTATACCCCCCTCCCAAGAACGAAGGACCGTGAAAAGGAGACCCATAATTCCCAGCCAGAACCCAGGCCATGGAGTAGCCGGCGATGGTCAGCGTCATCTTCCTAGTCCGGTTTTCGCCCCCTCCCTCCCTACTGGACTGCCTTCCTTCCTCTCTGCCCTTCGGAGCTCTGGAACGTCGGTGAAGTTAACCGCTTCAGCCATGAGGGCTCGAAATGTGGCAGTGGTTTTGATCCGTCCCTAAAAAAAGCTAACGCCGGTAGGCCTGGCTTGCGTACTAGAGCAAGCGTGGTGTGCAAACACCACAGAGCCCTGATTTTTTTTTACACACAAACCCCCTCAAGATCCGACATGGGCAGCCCCCTCCCCACTTGCGGCCCTCTCCGGGTACCCCAAAACCGGACACTCACGTAGATGCTCGGCGTTGGGGGGCTGAGCTTATCCCGGGGGAGTTTTTCGTCCACGTTGATCTGAGGTTTGACCGACTGGCTTTGGGACAGGTAGGACTCCTTAAATTTTCCTTTCACCTTGGCGTGCCTAGCGAGAAGGGGGAAAGTGGGGGAAGACGTCAGCCCGGGAAAAGCGGCAAAAAATTGACCCCCTGGGTTCAGGCGGTCCTCGGCTTACGGACGCAATTGGGCCCTCCGTTTCTGTTGCTAAGTGAGATGTTTTGCTCAGCGGGTTTTGCCCCGTTCCAGGACCTTCCTTCTCTCCATTATTTTGAAGTGAATCGTCACCAGTCGGTAAGCGAGTCACCCGGCTTGCCCGCTGACGGTTCTGGGTCGAGAGGTCGCAAAAGGGGATCCCGTGATGGTCATTAAGCCCCCTTCATGTCAGTGTCTCCTCACATTTTCAGCTGCACAGAGTCGCGCCGAAACAAGACGGACAGCAAAACAATTTAATAATAAAGAAATAAGAGTCCCTGCGGATTTTACTCGACTACTCCTTGCCAACGCTGGAGGATCATGCTCGTTTTCCGAAAACATTTCTGCGGTCACATGGCCGAAACGACATCCTGAGTGCCGTCACCTTCCTGTCAAAGTGGTAGCTATTTATCTACACACCTTTGTATGCTTTCAAGCTTTTGGGTGGGCAGGAGCTGAGGTGAGGACGGGAGTTCACTCTGTCGTCAGAAGCTCGGGACTCAAACCTGGACTGCTGGTTTTCCAGCTAACAAGCCCAGCGACTTAACCGCTGAGTCACCGCGTCACCCCAATAATAAATAAACGATTCTCGTAACAGCCGTGGCAAAAAGGTTGTCAAATCGGGCAGGGCCCACTTAACAACGGCCTTGCTTAGCAACAGGAATTTTGCTCCCACCTGTGGTTGATAAATCGAGAACTACTTGCAGTGAACCCGCGTTTTCTATTCAGTGGCTGGAAGATCCTAGTAGGAAACGGCCTCAGGGGAGGCAATGGGGGAAACGGCCTCAGGAGGGGCAACGGGTTAACTCACTTGCTGGCTCGCACGACCTCAGCGGCCGAGTGGTTGATGGTCAGCTCGCTCAGGGGGATGCGCCGTTCCTCGACTTCGGAGGCGATGAAGGTCTCCTTGTCCCCACTCTCCACCTTGATCAGCCGGATCTTCAGCTCCTTGGGGGGACCCTCTGTGAAGGACCGCAGCTTGAGCAGGTCGGCCGAGCACACCATGGTGGACACCGAGCCCACCGGAGCCTCTTCTGTCTTGACGGGAGACCTCCGCTCCGGGGGAGGTGGCGGAGGTGGCGGGGGCGGCTTGGCCCCGTTCTCCCGGGCCTGCCCCTCGGCGCTCTGCACGTCCAAACTGCCCAGGATCTGCCGGTTCTTCCCCTTGCGAGCTTTACCGTCCCGGTGTCTGCGCGAGCCATCCCGGTTGGAGCGACGGTGCCGACGGTGCTCCAAATGCTGCTTGCGGGACTCGTCCTTGGGGCGGGGAGGGGTGAGTGGTGGGGGCGCCGGGGGCACGGGGGCTGGAAGAGGAGGGGGTGGAGGGGAGGCCGGGGCGGGTGGGGGACTGGCAGGGGGCGGGGGGCTCTTCTCCCGCCCTGCTCGTCCCACCAGGGTCTCGCAGGCGCGGCTGATCTCCTCCAAGACCTCCGACTCGGTCTTGACGGGCCGAGGGGTGGGCAGGGGCGGGGGCGGGGAGGCCCGCTCCTCTGTGGCGCCACCAGGGCCCCCGGCCCACGCTTGGCCTGAGGTAGTGAGTTGGGGCAGGGGGCTCTGGCTCGCACCGGCTGGGGGGGAGATCTTAGCACCTGGGGGCGTCATCGGTTTCAGCCGATAGGAGTGTTTCTGCCCCTCCAGCACATTGGCCAAAGACTTCAAGAGTGACGGGGTGCTGCGGGGGGTGAACTTGGGCCCCCCGCTGGACCCCCCTGCGGCTGCCATGCCCGGGGGGCGCTGCTCTTCCGTGTCCCGCTTGCCGAAGCGGTAGAGGCAAGGAGGCTCGGGGGGGTCCTGCCCGGGCGGCTTGGGGTAATCGAAGGCGCCGGCCGAGGCCGAGGGCAGCTTGGGCCTGGCCAGGGGTGGGGGGCTAGGCAGCAGAGGGGCGGGGGGCGGCGGGGGAGGGAAGCTCTCCTCCCGTTCTTCTTCCCCGCGCCGGATGGACTCGTCCAGCATCTTCATGATGTTGGCCAGCCCGTCCGGCAAAATCTTGGAGAATTCGGGGGGCTCCTCAAACTGGTCCTCTAACGGGGGGCTGGCGAAGCCGAAGAGGCGGTCAGGGGAGGCCTCCGGGGCGGGGGGCACCACGGGCGGGTCCAGCGTCTTTGGATAGGAGGCCCGGGAGGGGGGAGGAGGGGGCGGCGGCGGGGGCGGCGGTGGGGGTGGCGGCGGGGGCGGCACCGGCAGCGCTGGGGGGCTCTCTGGGGGCCTGAACGTTCCTGAGGTAATCGGGGGGCTCGGATTCAGGGGCCTGGACCCCCCCGCGGTGCCGCTCTCTTCCCGGCTGCTCTCGGGAAGCCAGAATGGGGGGGCCGGCGAGGGCTCGGGGCTGGCTGGGCTGGGGGTCTCCCCGGCCCCTTCCCGGGGGTGAGAGAAGCTGCCTTGCTGACCGCTGGCGCCCGGATCCTGGAAGCCGCACCCCGAGTCGCAATTGGCCAAGGAGGGGGGGTCGGCGCCGCACCCAAAGAGGAGGTCTCCCAGGGGGTCTTCCTCCTCGGCCTTGCCCCCCTCACCCGCTTTGCCCAGCCAGGGCAGCGGAGGGGGGGGAGGGGGAGGAGGAGGGGGAGGAGGGGGAGCTGGGGGGCACTGGGGAGCCGAGGGAGGGGCTGGTGGGGCGGGGCCCGGCGGGGGCAGGGGCCGGTTGGGGGGTGGGGGCTGCATGCGTGCGCAGGGCAGGTTGCGGGGGGCAAGGCAAGGGGCCGGCCGGGAGGGAGGGGCCGGTTTGCGCCCAGCGTTCTCCGATGTGACGACGGGCGACTCCATTGCCGGCGGCGTTTGGTAATGATTAGAAGAACCCTGCGGGGGGGGAAGGGGGGGGGACAGGAATAATATGAATGAATAAAATGTCTCCCTCCCTCCTTTCTTTTCTTCGTCCCTTCTCTCTCCTTCCTTCCTTCTTCCCTCCCTCCCTTTTTTTTCCCTTCCCTCCATCCCTGGAACCAGCTACTATTTATTTTCTTCCTTCCTTCCTTCCTTCCTTCCTTCCTTCCTTCCTTCCTTCCTTCCTTCCTTCCTTCCTTCTGACTCCTTCCATCCTCCCTTCTCTCTCCTTCCTTCCTTCCGTTCCCTTCCTTCCTTTCTTCTCCTTCCTTTCTCTTCCTACCTCCCTCTCATTCCTTCCCACCCTCCCATCCTTCTTCCCCTTTCCCTCCATCTTTCTTCCCTCCCTTCCTCGCTCGACTCCTTCCTTCCTCCCTCCCTTCTCTTTCCTTCCTCCCTTCCCTCGCTTCTCTCCTTCCTCTCCTTCCTTCCTTCTTCCTTCCTTCCCTTCTGTCTCTTTCCTCCCTCCCTCTCCTCTCTCCTTCCTTCCTTCCTTCCTCACTGTTTCATTCCTTCCCTCCCTCCCTCGCTTCTTCCTTCCCTCCCTCCCTTGCTTCTTCCTTCCTCCCTTCTTTCTTCCCTCGCTTGTCTTTCCTCCCTCCCTCCTTTCTCTCCTTCCTCCCTTCCTTCCTCACTCTTTCATTCCTTTCTTCCCTCGCTTGTCTTTCCTTCCTCTCTCCTTCCTTCCCTTTTCCCTTTCTTCCTTCCCTCACTTCTGTCTCTTTCCTTCCTCCCTCCCTTCTCTCTTCCTTCCTTCCTTCCTTCCTCAGTTTCATTCTTCCCTCCCTTCTTCCTTCCCTCCCTCCCTCCCTCACTTCTTCCTTCCTCCCTCCCTTCTTTCCTTCCTCCCTTCTCTTTCCTTCCCTCTTCCCTTCCTTCCTCCCTTCCCTCGCTTCTCTCTCCTTCCCTCTTCCTTCCTTCACTTCTGTCTCTTTCCTTCCTCCCTCCCTTCTCTCTTCCTTTCTTCCTTCCTTCCTCAGTTTCATTCTTCCCTCCCTTCTTCCTTCCCTCCCTCCCTCCCTCACTTCTTCCTCCCTCCCTTCTTTCTTCCCTCACTTGTCTTTCCTCCCTCCCTCCCTTCTCTCCTTCTTCCCTTCCTTCCTCACTCTTTCATTCTTCCCACCTTCTTCTTTTCTTCCCCCCATCTTTCCTCCCTCCCTCCCTCCCTCCCTCTCTGGGTCACCCCCCTCCCACCCCCTTCCTCTGCAAGGGCTCCACCCAAGCTGCCCCCCCCTCCCGTGGCAGCCCCCCCCGGGGTCCCCGTGGCCCCTTACAAGGCTTTCCGAGGTCAGCGGCCCCCGTGAGGTGGTCTTGCTGGTGGTGGTGGTGGTGGGTCCTCCCGGGGTCGGGCGCGGGGCATAAGGCACGCAGGCGGAGGTTGCTGGTGTGGTGGTGGAGTCTGGACGCACCCGGGGGACTCGGCCGTCTCTAAGGTCACTTCCGTTGGGCCGGGTGGAGCAGCCGTGGGGCTCGAGCGGGGCGCGGTGTGCTGGCGGTGTGCGGGGAGTGGGCGCCATGGCGGGCAGGCGGTGGGGGGGCGGGTGGGAGCTGTAGGCGGGCGACGGGTAGGGGAAAGCGGAGTGAGCCACCGAGTTCCTCTGCTCCTGGGGGCGGAAGCCGGGGGGGGGGGGGGAGGAGGAGGAATGAGAGAGTGAAAAAGAGGGGAGGGGAAAGGGAAAGAGGGAGGGAAGGAAGAAGTGAAGGAGGGAGGGAAGGGAAAGGGAGGGAGGGAAGAAGCAAGTGGGATGGAGGGAGGGAGGGAGGGAGGGAGGGAGGGAAGAGAGAGAAGCGAGGAAACGAGGGAAGGAAGAAGCAAAGGGACAGAAGTGAGGGAGGAAAGGAAAGAAAGCAAAGGAGGGAGGGAGGGAGACAGGGAAGGAAGGAAGGGAGACAGAAGCGAGGGAGGGAGGGAGGGAAGGAAAGAAGCAAGCAAGGAAGGAAGGAAGAGAAGGAGGGAGACAGAAGGAGAGAGGGAAGGAAGGAAGGAAGGAAGGAGGGAAGGAAGGAAGAGAAGGAAGGGAAGGAGGGAGGGAAAAGGAGAGAGGGAGGGAGGGAAGGAAGGAAGAGAAGGAGGGAGAGAGGGAGAGAGGGAGGGAGGGGAGGGAAGAGAAGGAGGGTGGGAGACAGGAGAGAGGGAAGGAAGGAAGAGAAGGAGGGAGGGAGGGAGGGAGACAGAAGGAGAGAGGGAGGGAGGGAAGGAAAGAAGCAAGCAAGGAAGGAAGGAAGAGAAGGAGGGAGACAGAAGGAGAGAGGGAAGCAAGCAAGGAAGGAAGGAAGAGAAGGAGGGAGACAGAAGGAGAGAGGGAAGGAAGGAAGGAAGGAAGGAAGAGAAGGAGGGAGACAGAAGGAGAGAGGGAAGGAAGGAAGGAAGGAAGGAAGGGAAGGAGGGAGGGAAAAGGAGAGAGGGAGAGGGAAGGAAGGAAGAGAAGGAGGGAGACAGAAGGAGAGAGGGAAGGAAGGAAGGAAGGAAGGAAGGGAAGGAGGGAGGGAAAAGGAGAGAGGGAGAGGGAAGGAAGGAAGAGAAGGAGGGAGGGAGGGAGACAGAAGGAGAGAGGGAGGGAGGAAAGGAAGGAAGGAAGGAGGAGAAGGAGGAGGGAAGGAGGGAGATGGAAGGAAAAATAAAATCAGGCTTTTCCCCCCCCCCCCCCCCCCCGCTCTTCAGACCTTTTCCGTTGACCTCAAGCATCCTGCAAGGCGAAGCTATCTGGGCTGGAGGGGGGGGGGGCTGCAGAAGCTTCCCAGCTTTTCCAAACCCAAAGCCACGGAAGAGGCCTTAATCCCACCCCCCCACTCCCCCCCCCCTGCAGTCCGGGCCCTTTGCAGATGCAAGCCAAGCAGCAGCCAGGAGCAGGCAAAGCAGGGAGCCGGGGAGGGGGGGGGGAACCCCGTCCCAGGCAAGATTTCAGGGGAAAAAGGGAATAAACCGGCCCCCTTTCCCTCCACTGGCCCCCCACCCACCCTGGACGGCCAGATCTGGGGGGGGGGGCCCTAATCTTTAGGGATGGGATTTATAGAGCCCCCCCCCCCTCTCACCAGAACAAGGGATCCTGGGTGGTGGATCTGGGAACACAAAGGACAGGGAGGACCCCCCCCCCAGCCCTCCAGAAGGACCCCTCCTCAATTTAAAGTGTTCATCAGCTGCGTCATACTTTCTTTCCTTCCTTCCTTCCTTCCTTCCTTCCCTTTGCCTTCCATCCATCCATCCTCCCTTCCTTCTTTTGTTTCTTTCCTCTTTCCTCTCTTTCCTTCCTTCTTTCCCGTCTTTTCCTTTCCATCCATCTCCTTTTTTCTTTCCTCATTTCTCCCTCTCTTCCCTTATTCCCTCGGTCCCTTCCCTTCTTCCTCATTTTTTTTCCTTCCATCCTCCCTCTTCCCTTCCTCTTTTCCTTTCGTCCTCCCTCCCTTTCTCCCTTTCCTCTTTCCTTTTCTCTTCAAAATCAATCTTCCTTCCTCTCCTCCTTCCATCTCTCCCTCCCTTTTTCTTTCCTCTTTTCTCCATCTTCCTTTCCTTCCCTCCTTCCTTTTCTCCTTCCATCCATCCCCCTTTTCCTTTCGTCCCTCCCTTACTTTCCTATTTCTCCCTTTCTTTTTTTCTGTTCCTCTTTCCTTTTTTCCCTTTCTCAAAACCAATCTTCCTTCCTTCCTTCTTTCCTCTTCCTTCCTCATTTTTCTTCTTCCCTTCCTTCCCTCCTTCATTCATTCATACCTTCCTTCCTTTCTTCTCATTTTCCTTCCTTCCTTCTTTACCATCTTCCTTCCTTCTCATTTCCCTTCCTTTCTTCCTTCTCATTTTCCTTCCTTCCTTTCTTCTCATTTTCCTTCCTTCTTTAACATCTTTCTTCCTTCCTTCTCATTTTCCCTTCCTATCTTCCTTCCTTCCTTCTCATTCTTCCTTTCTTCCTTCCTTCCTATTTTCCTTCCTTCCTTCATTTGTTCTTTGCTATCTTCCTTTTTTCTTCTCATTTCCTTCCTTCTTTTTCCTTCCTTCCTTCTCATTCTCCTTCCTTCCTTCCTTCTCATTTTCCCTTCCTTCCTATCTTCCTTCCTTCCTTCTCATTCTCCTTCCTTTCTTCCTTCCTTCCTATTTTCCTTCCTTCCTTCATTTGTTCTTTGCTATCTTCCTTTTTTCTTCTCATTTCCTTCCTTCTTTTTCCTTCCTTCCTTCTCATTCTCCTTCCTTCCTTCCTTCCTTCTCATTTTCCCTTCCTTCCTATCTTCCTTCCTTCCTTCTCATTCTCCTTCCTTTCTTCCTATCTTCCTTCCTTCCTTCCTTCCTTCATTTGTTCTTTGCTATCTTCCTTTTTTTCTTCTCATTTCCTTCCTTCTTCTTCCTTCCTTCCTTCTCCTTCTCCTTCCTTCCTTCCTTCCTCCCCTCGCCCCCTCCCTGGGGCGGCCTAGCCTTAAAGTGGGGGGGTCCGCCTTACTTGTCTGTCTGGGGCGGCCACGTTCTTGCGCTCCTGGCCCCAGAGGTCTCCATGCAGGGGGTTCCATAGTCCAGGCTTAGGCAGCTGGTAGTGGGGATTGCCGGGGGCTCCGGGACCGGACAAATGCTGGCCCACCCCGTTAGCACCGGTCTGCTCCCCCGCAGGCGTTTGCAGAGAGAGAGCGAGAGGAGAGGGTCACAGCCTCCAAAGCCCCACAGCCCCCTCCCGCCACGCTGCCCCCCCGTGTCCTTCCCCAGGGGGGGGGGAAACAGGAGCGGAGAAGGGGTCCCAGCAGGAGGGGAGGTTGACCTACAGATCCCTTTCTCCCCCCCTTAAAAAAAAAAAAAGCCAGCAGCCACCCAAGCAGCAGACCAAAGCAGCGTCCGGAAAGGGCAAGAGGCCGTTAAGCATGCGCAGAGTGCCAGCAACAGGGGCTTTGCTACCTGGTCGGGACTGGTGCTCCTCCGCCTCTTCATGGGCGCCGGCATCTCTTCGCTGTGGCCCGGGTGGGCCGGGTGCTGGACCGGCGGGATGGGCTGGACCACCGGGGGCTCCATGGGGGGGCCGGGCCGCTTGAGCTGGGGGTTCCGCTTGGCCGAAAAATTCCTTTTCTGGGGAAGCGAATGCAGGGGGATTCAGTTTGTCTGCTAAACACCCAACGCAGAAGCCTTTCCACGGAAATAAGACACCTGGGCAGCTTTGAAGACCGGTGGGCTTCAATTCCCAGAATCCCCCAGCCAGCCCTCTTGACTGGGGAATTCTGGGAGTTGAAGAAGCCCATGCCTCTTAAAAGTTGCTGTTCTAGGACAGGGGTTTCCAAGCTTGGCGATTTTAAGACGGGTGGACTTCAACTCCCAGAATCCCCCAGCCAGCCATCTTGACTGAGGAATTCTGGGAGTTGAAGTCCACCCATCTTAGAGTTGCCAAGGTTGAAAAACACTGTTCCAGGACAGGGGCCTTGGCACCTTGAAGACCTGTGGACTTTAACTCCCAGAATTCGCCAAAAACCTTTGGAAACAGTGATTGACACAGTGCTGCGGAACAAGGAAAATTGGTCCAAAAGATTTGTTAAGGGGGGGGGTTATTGAATGAGTCATAATTAAAAAAAAAATTAACAGAAACCCCAAGTGTTCTTTTAAATCAGGAGTCTTCCAACTAGGCCCTTTGAGGACTTTTGGACTTCAACTCCCAGAATTCCTCAGCCAGCATGAGGGAACTATGACCCTTTTATGACTTGTGGACTTCAACTCCCAGAGTTCCTCAGCCAAGCACACTAGCTGAGGAATTCTGGGAGTTGAACTCCACAAGCAGGGCTCTCCAAACTTGGCCCTTTGATGACTTGTGGCCATAGTTCCCTCACGCTGGATGAGGAATTCTGGGAGTTGAAGTCCACAAGTCATCAAAGGGTCCTAGTTCCCTCATGCTGGCTGAGGAATTCTGGGAGTTGAAGTCCAAAAGTCATAAAAGGGTCCTAGTTCCCTCATGCTGGCTGAGGAATTCTGGGAGTTGAAGTCCAAAAGTCATAAAAGGGTCCTAGTTCCCTCATGCTGGCTGAGGAATTCTGGGAGTTGAAGTCCACGTCATCAAAGGGTCCTAGTTCCCTCACGCTAGCTGAGGAATTCTGGGAGTTGAAGTCCACAAGTCAAAAGGGTCATAGTTCCCTCACGCTAGCTGAGGAATTCTGGGAGTTGAAGTCCACAAGTCATCAAAGGGCCAAGTTTGAAGATCCCTGCTTGTGGACTTCAACTCCCAGAATTCCTCACCCAGCATGCCTGGCTGAGGAATTCTGGGAGTTGGAAGTCCACAAGCCGGGGTTATGGGGACGGGGCAGAAACTTCTTACCTCAAGATGTAAAAGGTTCCAGACTTGCTGTAAGGGGGGTAAAACTTTGTGCCGGTGATGAGATGAGCCCCCCGAATGGAAATTCCACAGCTGAGCCTGAAAAAGGGGGAACAGGTGAGGTGGAGGAAGAAGAGACAAGAGACCACGTTTAAAAAAAAAAGGTTAAAGCTTTTCTTCAAGGAATTTGGGAAATGGAAGAGTGGCAGGATCTCCTGGTGGTCTCCCATCCGAACCAACCAACCAACCAGGCCAGACTGTTCTTAGCTTGGCTTTTCAACCTAGGGAAGGCTAGTTAGGAAAAGGTTGGGAAACTCCCCCTTTCTTTATCTTATCCAACACATTTGGGGCAATTTGGTGTAGTTAAGGCAACAAGTGGGAAACCGGGAGGCAGTGAATTCTAGTTCTGTCTTAGGCACAAAAGCCAACTGGGTGACTTTGGGCCAATCACCAGGAGACAGTGAGTTTTAGTCCTCTCTTAGGCATCAAAGCTGTCTGGGTGACTTTCAGGCCAATCACCGGGAGACTGGGAGTTCTAGTACGCCTTAGCCAAGCAAGCCAACTGAATCACTTTGGGCCAATCACCAGGAGATGGTGAGTTCTAGTCCCACCTTAAACATCAAAGCTAGCTGCGTGACTTCGGGCCAATCACTAGGAGATGGTGAGTTCTAGTCCCACCTTAAACATCAAAGCTAGCTGGGTGACTTTGGACCAATCACCGGGAGATGGTGAGTTCTAATCCTGCCTTAGGCATCAAAGCTGTCTGAATCACTTTGGGCCAATCGCCAGGAGATGGCGAGTTCTAGTCCCACCTTAGGCATCAAAGCTGTCTGGGTGACTTTCAGGCCAATCACCGGGAGACTGGGAGTTCTAGTATGCCTTAGGCAAGCAAGCCAATTGAATCACTTTGGGCCAATCACCAGGAGATGATGAGTTCTAGTCCCACCTTAAACATTAAAGCTAGCTGGGTGACTTTGGACCAATCACCGGGAGACGGCGAGTTCTAGTCCCGCCTTAGGCCTCCAAGTTAGCTGGGTGACCTTGTGCCATTCATCCTCTCAGCCCAGCCCAACCCACCTCACAGGGTTGTCGTTCGTGGAGAAAATAAGAGGAAGGCGGTCTATACGGAAGAAGTTTTTGGGTGAAAATAATAAAGGCAGGATAAAACGGAATGTTTTGGGGGCAAAAAAGGATGGGAATGCCTCTGCTCCCCCCCCCCCACATCCAGCTCTCCCCCCCGCTGCTCCTCCTAAGGCCCGAACCCCCCCCCCACCTCCGGCAACGCCCCCCCAGCCCCCCCCAGCACGTGGGCCGTCCATCCTACCTGCTGCAGCCTCCCGATCCGGGCGTGCATTTCCCCGTAGCTCCCATAGTCGCGCTGGTACCGGGTGGCGTTTTGGTAGCACCGGATGGCTTCCTCGCAGTCCTGCTCCGACTCGTAGATGGCGCCCAGCTGCTCCCAGAGGTGAGGCTGGCCCTGGTCCCGCAGCAGAGCCTGGACGCAGCCGTGGATGGCCTCCAGCTTCCCATGCAGGGGGCGTGGGGGCAAGTTCCTGGAGGGGTGGAGGGGGGGAGACGTGATGAGTCGGCAGCAAAGGAGGCGGGGGGGGGGCAAGCTCCCTGGGAAGGGATGCTGGGAGGGAGGCGTACAGAGTGGTGGGGAGGGGTCTTAAAGGAAATAGGTGGGGGCCTTTCCTTCAGATCTGGGGTGGGGGCAGACCCAGCGAAGGAGAGATGAGAGATTTTTTGGGGAGGGGGGCAGCAAAGAAGCCAAAAAGGACAGGACTGTGCAGCGAAGAGGGTGCAGGAGAACGGCAACAAGCAAGCAAGCAAGCAAGCAGGAGGATGGTGGTCAATAGGAACGAGTAACTGTAGATCAAGTTTGAAGTGAGGGGTCCCGGGTGCTCTCCGAGTTGGGCGGGGTACCTGCAGAACTTCCCGGACCCAGCTAGGGAACATCATCGGTGCCAGAAGGGAGGAGAAAGAGGAGGAGGAGGAGGAGGAGGAGGAGGAGGAGGAGGAGGAGGAAGAAGAAGAAGAAGAAGAAGAAGAAGAAGAAGAAGAAGAAGAAGAAGAAGAAGAAGAAGAAGAAGAAGGAAGAAGAAGAAGAAGAAGAAGAAGAAGAAGAAGAAGAAGAAGAAGAAGAAGAAGAAGAAGAAGAAGAAGAAGAAGAAGAAGAAGAAGAAGAAGAAGAAGAGGAGGAAGACTGTGGGGTTCCTGGTGCTCTCTGAGCTGGGTGGTTTTCTTGCAGACGTTTCACGACCCAACTAGGGAACATCATCAGTGCTGGAAGGGAGGGGGAAAAAGAGGAGGAAGAGGGGGTCTGCAGATAGGATGTGGAGAAGGATAAGAAGAAGGGGAGGAGGAGGAGGAGGAGGAGGAGGAGGAGGAGGAAGATTGAGGGGTCCTTGGTGCTCTCTGAGCTTGGTGGTTTTCTTGCAGGCGTTTCACGACCCAACTAGGGAACATCATCAGTGCTGGAAGGGAATGGGATTTGTGGAGGAGGAGGAGGAGGAGGAAGAGGAGGAGGAGGAGGAGGAGGAGGAGGAGGAGGAGGAGGAGGAGGAGGAGGAGGAGGAGGAGGAGGAGGAGGAGGAAGAAGGACGACTGTGGGATCCTTGGTGCTCTCTGAGCTGGGTGGTTTTCTTGCAGACGTCTCATGACCCAACTAGGGAACACCATCAGTACTCGGGGTCATGGTCTGCCTGCACCTTTTCCTAGATGCATACAATGGGGGGGAATCTGTGGTCCTCCTCCTTCCCCCCCCCATGCAAAATAGGGTGGGTGGGCCCCAAAGGCCGGGCGCAGGACTCACCCGGGGGCATAGTAGCCTTTGCTGTACTGCCCCAGATTAGCACCATGGCTGGGCGTCAACGGCAGGGGCAGAGGCGGCTGGACGGCACTGGCGGAGCACCTGGCAGAGGGAGACCGTGGCGGGTCAGAAAGGCAGGCGAGATACCAGCTGGGGAGGGGGGGGCAAGAGTCCTGCTCCCATCGAGCTGGGCTGGGTCTCTTCTATGGCAGGGGTCTTCCAACTCGGCCCTTTGGTGACTTGCGGACTTCAACTCCCAGAATTCCCTAGCCAGGCACGCTGGCCGAGGAATTCTGGGAGTTGAAGTCCACCAGTCATCAAAGGGTCCTAGTTCCCTCACGCCGGCTGAGGAATTCTGGGAGTTGAAGTCCCCAAGCCATGAAGGGGCCATAGTTCCCTCACGCCGGCTGAGGAATTCTGGGAGTTGAAGTCCCCAAGTCACAAAAGGGTCATAGTTCCCTCACACTAGCTGAGGAATTCTGGGAGTTGAAGTCCACCAGTCACAAAAGGGTCATAATTCCCTCACGCTGGCTGAGGAATTCTGGGAGTTGAAGTCCGCAAGTCATAAAGAGGGCCAAGTTGGAAGACCCCTGTTTTATGGGGTGGAAAAGGCGCCCTGAGACCATTTGGGGGGGGGAATCTCTCGGGGGGGAGCAGGCTTAGGAGAGGAAGCAGAGCAGCCAACACCGAAACGGCCCCCCCTCAATTTGGGAGAGGAAGGCAGAGATGGATGACACGGCTCGGGCGGGGGGGGGGGAATGAGCGTGGGAAGGCGAACACGGGACCAAGTTTCTCCGAGGGAAATGCAGAGTGGCTGAAACTAACCCTGGTTTGATTGGGAGAAGGCGGAAAGATGTTCCGGATAAACGGAGAACCCACAAAGAGGGTTTATTCTCTGCATTTGATAAAGAAGAATATTTGCAGCTCCCTGGGGTGGGTGGTTTTCCTGCAGACGTCTCATGACCCAACTAGGGAACATCATCAGTGCTAGAAGGGAGAGGGGTTTGCGGGGAGGAGGAGAATTGTGGGGTCCTGGGTGGTCTTCTGAGCTGGGTGGTTCCCTCGCAGACGTTTCATGACCTAACTAGGTGACATTGTCAGCGCTAGGAGAGAGTGGGGGTTGCAGGGAGGAGGAGGAGGAGGAGGAAAAGGGGGATGGACTGTGGGGTCCTTGGTGGTCTCTGAGCTTGCTGATATCCTGCAGACGTTTCGTGACCCAACTAGGCAACACCATCAGGGCTAGAAGGGAGAGGTATTTGCAATATTTAGCCCTGATGATGTTCCCTAGTTGGGTCACGAAACGTCTCCAAGAAAACAACCCTGCTCAGAGACCATCAAGAACCCCACAGTCCGTCCTCTTCCTCCTCCTCCCTCCCTTCCTTCCTCCCCCTCCCTTCTAGCACTGATAATGATCCCTAGTTGGGTCACGAAACGTCTGCAAGAAAACCGCTCAGCTCAGAGATCACTGAGGACCGCTCTCTTCTTCGCTTGGGGGCACGACAGCTAGTCCTCCACTTACGCCGCGAATTGAGCCTGGAATGAGTAGTCAGTCCTATTGGCCATTAAGCCTAACCAGAGACCTGATTGTACGACATTCTTTTTTTTTGTGGCGGTCGTTAAGCGAATCCACCATTGTTAAGCAAGCATTGCAGCCACTAAGCAAAACAAAACAAAACCACAAAAGCCCCACAACCCCATTGTTCGGAATGGGTGATGGTTTTTTTTTGCCCGTTTACCCATTTCCAGCCAAGAATGTCGTCACAACTGTGGGATGCGGGCAAATGGCCGTAAATCCGGATCGGTTGCTAAGCGTCTAAATTCAGATCGTGTGGCGGCTGTCGGAACTTTGAATCTGGCACGTAAGTACCTTTTGGGGGGGCTCCGTCGTAACTTCAAAAACTTAGGTCGTAAGTGGAGGACTATTTACTCTGCAGAGATCTGCACACGGACCGGTCCTCGACATACGACAAGTAAGCCTGACCTCCCCGTCACTAAGCGAGACGGCTGTTAAGTCAGTTTTGCTCCATTGGATGACCGGGAGGGTGGGGTGTGCGGAGAATGCCACAACGGTTGTACGTGTGAAAAAAATGTCCTTTTTTTTACGCCGTTCTAACTCGACGGTCGCCAAACGAACGGCTGTCACTTGAGGACTAGCTCCCTGCCCGGGTTTATGGAGGAAGCTCAAAACTTCGGAATGAAAGTTTTATCTCTCTCTCACTCTTTTTTTTTTCCTTTAAACTTATTCTCCAACCTTCCAAATTCTGAAATTTCCACTCAGAGAAAACAAGGATTTCTGGAAGCAAAAAATGAGTGGGGGGGTGGGGGAAGGCAGCCAGGCTAGCTGAGACCCCAGGACCTGGGACTTGCCCGCTTCCCCCCTCCCCGCAACCGGGGCTGGTCCTCGAACCCGCTCCCCCCTTCCCAAAATACCTGCCCCCCGGGAGCCATGGGCGAGAATGGCACGAGGTCCAGGCTCCACTGCAGCCCACGTTGCCGATGGAAAAAGGGTCCCGTCCAGCACGGACCCCAAGCTGTTCCAATGTGCGATGCATCCAGTCTGCACAAGGCAGAGAAGAGAGAGGGGGGGGTTAGGGGACCGCCAGAGGATGGAGACCCCCACCCCACTGGCCCCTTTTTAACACCATGTGCTTTAGTTTAACTCAATAATAATGATGATGATGATTGTTGGAAGGGACCTGGGAGGTCATCTAGCCCAACCGCCTATTTTCCCACTTTCTACCAACACAAGTCTTCTCTCTTCTCTTCGGTTGAACGTCCCTGCTCTGACGGGCAGCCCGCTGGGTGGTAGTTAAAGGCCGCAGCCCCAGGCAGGAACCAGGACAATTGGGACTTCTAGTCCTCCGTTATTTTTAGGAACACCTTTTTATCCCTCTTGCTTTCTTGATAAGTAACTCGAGGTGTTGAACGAACCAAACGCGCCGTCCGGCTTTCCCCACAACAGCCCTGCGAGGTGGGCTGGGCTGAGGGAGGAGGACTGGATCAAAGTCACCCAGCCAGCTTTCATGCCTAAGGCGGGACTAGAACTCCCCGTCTCCTGGTGATTGGCCCAAAGTCACCCAGCTACTTCACATGCCTAAGGCGGGACTAGAACTCCCCGTCTCCTGGTGATTGGCCCAAAGTCACCCAGCCAGCTTTCATGCTTAAGGCGGGACTAGAATTCAGTCTCCCGGTGATTGGCCCAAAGTCACCCAGCTACTTCACGTGCCTAAGGCGGGACTAGAACTCACAGTCTCCTGGTGATTGGCCCAGAGTCACCCAGCCGGCTTTTATGCCTAAGGCGGGACTAGAACTCACAGTCTCCTGGTGATTGGCCCAGAGTCACGCAGCCGGCTTTTATGCCTAAGGCGGGACTAGAACTCACAGTCTCCTGGTGATTGGCCCAGAGTCACGCAGCCGGCTTTTATGCCTAAGGCGGGACTAGAACTCCCTGTCTCCTGGTGATTGGCCCAGAGTCACCCAGCTGGCTTTTATGCCTAAGGCAGGACTAGAACTCACAGTCTCCTGGTGATTGGCCCAAAGTCACTCAGCCAGCTTTCATGCCTAAGGCGGGACTAGAACTCACAGTCTCCTGGTGATTGGCCCAGAGTCACCCAACTGTCTTTCATGCCTAAAGTGGGACTAGAACTCACCGTCTCCCACTTTCCTGACCAGCACCGTAACCACTCAACCAAACTGGCTCTCCTTTGGCACCAGACCCAAATGGGGGATTTGGGGCCAAGAAAGGAAAGACAAACCACGTCTGGAGATGCATGGTCGCCCGAGGTCCAGACAGCCCAGAAGGCCCAAATAATCGCTCATTAATCAAGGATACGAAACAGAGGTCTCCAATCTTGGCAAACCGAAGACGGGTGGGCTGCAACTCCCAGAATTCCCCAGCCACTGGTGGACTCTGACTCTCAGCCTGGCTGAAGAATTCTGGCAGTTGGTCCCCAAGTTTTAAAATGGCTGGGGAATTCTGGGAGTTGAAGTCCCCCAGTCTTAAAGTGACTGAGGAATTCTGGGAGTTGAAGTCCCCCAGACTTAAAAGTGGCTGGGGAATTCTGGGAGAGGAATTCTGGGAGTTGAAGTCCATCAGTCTTAAAGTGACTGAGGAATTCTGGGAGTTGAAGTCCCCCAGTCTTAAAGTGGCTGGGGAATTCTGGGAGAGGAATTCTGGGAGTTGAAGTCCCCCAGTCTTAAACTGGTTGAGGAATCCTGGGAGTTGAGGCTCCCAATTCTTAAACGGCTCGGGAATTCTGGGAGTTGCAGCCCACCCGTGATATAAGACATACCTTCTACCCCTTTTATTAGTGGTGCCATTTCGTACTTTGGTTTGACCCCCCCCAGCCCCCTCCCCAAATCCCCACCTCTCATGCACCTGGAATGAACAGTTACTGCTGCCCCCTCCCCAGCCCACCCCCCAAGCCCTCCTCTTACCTTTCTCCCGGAGTGGACGCGTCTTCGTTCCCCACCCTCCACCCCCCCAGATCCAGGCGACGGGCGCCCCCCCAGCCGCTGATAATTTAGACCTCCTCTGGTCTAAAGCCTCCGGAGGTCACAACCACATATAATGCTGCAAGGGGAGATGGGGGGGAGAGAGAGGGGGAGGGAGGAGAGGGAGAGGGAGGAAGGAGAGAGGGAGAGGGAAGGAGAGGGAGAGAGAGCGAGGGAAGGAAAGAGAGGAGAGACAGAGGGAGAGGGAAGGAGAGAGGGAGAGAGGGGGAAGGAGAGAGAAGGAGGGAGAGAGAGATATGAAGGGAGGGAGAGAGGGGGAGAGAGAAGAAGGGAGAGAGAGAGATATGGAGGGAGGGAGAGAGGGGGAGAGAGAGAGAAGAAGGGAGAGAGAGATATGGAGGGAGGGAGAGAAGGGGAGGGAGAGAGAAGGAGGGAGAGAGAGAGATATGGAGGGAGGGAGAGAAGGGAAGGGAGAGAGAAGGAGGGAGAGAGAGAGATATGGAGGGAGGGAGAGAAGGGGAGGGAGAGAGAAGAAGGGAGAGAGAGATATGGAGGGAGGGAGAGAAGGGGAGAGAGATATGGAGGGAGGGAGAGAGGGAGAGAGAAGGGAGAGAGAGATATGGAGGGAGGGAGAGAAGGGGAGGGAGAGAGAGAGAGATGGAGAGATGAGAGAGAGAGAAGAAGGGAGAGAGAGATATGGAGGGAGGGAGAGAAGGGGAGGGAGAGAGAGAGAGATGGAGAGAGGGAGAGAGAGAGAAGAAGGGAGAGAGAGATATGGAGGGAGGGAGAGAAGGGGAGGGAGAGAGAGAGATATGGAGGGAGGGAGAGAGAGAGAAGAAGGGAGAGAGAGATATGGAGGGAGGGAGAAGGGGAGGGAGAGAGGAGGGAGAGAGGGAGATATGGAGGGAGGGAGAGAGGGAGAAAGAGAGAAGAAGGGAGAGATATGGAGGGAGGGAGAGAGGGAGAAAGAGAGAAGAAGGGAGAGAGAGATATGGAGGGAGGGAGAGAAGGGGAGGGAGAGAGAGAGATATGGAGGGAGGGAGAGGGGGAGAGAGAGAGAAGAAGGGAGAGAGAGATATGGAGGGAGGGAGAGAAGGGGAGGGAGAGAAAGAGAGAGAGAAGGGAAGGAGAGACAGAGGAGAGAGGGAAGAAGAGAGAGAGGAAGGGAGAAAGAGACAGAGAAGGAGGGAGGGAGGGAGGGAGGGAGAGAGAGAGAAAAAAAGTTAAGTTTGCTCATACACTTTGCACCCCGCACAAGGGTCTTCAGACAACCCCATTTCTCCACCCTGCCTCCTGCATCTGCCCACAGCCCAGGAGGGAAGAGGCCTATAAGCCACCCCACAAATGCCAAGGTTGAAAATAGCCATTTTCCCCTCTTTCAGGGGGAACCTTTCGCACCCAGAGCCGCCCCCCCCCTCCAAAAAACGTGCAAAGCTTGCTAGGTTGTGTGAATGTGACTTTGGAGGTTGGGGGAGAGAGAGCCAGGGAAGCGCAGCAATTTCCCCACCAGTTTTGCCCGTAGCTTTCCTGAGAGCGATGGGAGTTGTAGTCCAACACGTTTCTCTTTTTTAAAACAAAAAGGCAGAAAGGGGAAGGCGGGGGGGGGTAAAACCCAGGAATGCATACATTTTCCTCCTGGGGGAACAGACCCAGGTTGATCTTAGGCTTTCCAAAAAAAAAAAAAAAAATCCTAAACTACTCCCCACCAACACGCGGACACGCTTTCGGGAGCATTCACACGTTACGCGTCTCCTCTGGGCCCGCATCTACTACAAAAGCGTCGCTCCCTTCTCCTGTTGGCCGGACCTACTTCCAGCACGTGGAAGGCGACCCCCGGGTCCAGCCCCGCAGAGGCGGAAGCGGCTGCCTTTTCCGCCGCCGCTCCGGGGTCGTCGTTCCCATCCCACGGTCCCCGCAACGGGCAGGAGAGGGTTAACCGTCGGCGGTGTTTATCCCCCCCTCCCATCAGCGCCAGGCCCCGCCCCACCTTCTGGCCCTGCCTCCAATGGAACGCCTGCCTTGGGAGCCGGGAGGCGCGGCCTCCGCTCCGCCCCGCCTCCCAGATTAACCCCTGCCTCGCCCGGCTGGGCTTAGCCCAGCTGCCTTGTGTTGGCTTGCTCCAGCCAGCCAGCCAATGGCGCCCCCTCCTCCCGACGGCCACCAATCATCTTGCGCCTTGATCTTCCGGAGGGGTCTGAAACCATAGAAATAAATGGGGAGGGGCGGCTGCGATCTGCCTCGCGGGGAGCGATTGCTACTGCCTGGCCAGCTGATGGGAGGGGGGGGGAAGAGCGAGGCCAAAAGCAGGCGATGGAGTAGATCAGGGGTCTTTCAACTTGGCCCTTTGATGACGTGTGGACTTCAACTCCCAGGATTCATCAGCCAGGCACGCTGGCTGAGGAATTCTGGGAGTTGAAGTCCACACGTCATCAAAGGGTCCTAGTTCCCTCACGCTGGCTGAGGAATTCTGGGAGTTGAAGTCCACCAGTCATCAAAGGGCTCTAGTTCCCTCACACTGGCTGAGGAATTCTGGGAGTTGAATTCTATGAGTCATTATAGTTCCCTCACACTGGCTGAGGAATTCTGGGAGTTGAAGTCCACAAGTCACAAAAGGGTCCTAGTTCCCTCACACTGGCTGAGGAATTCTGGGAGTTGAATTCTATGAGTCATTATAGTTCCCTCACACTGGCTGAGGAATTCTGGGAGTTGAAGTCCACAAGTCACAAAAGGGTCCTAGTTCCCTCACACTGGCTGAGGAATTCTGGGAGTTGAAGTCCACAAGTCATCAAAGGGTCCTAGTTCCCTCACACTGGCTGAGGAATTCTGGGAGTTGAAGTCCACAAGCAGGAGTCTTCCAACTTGGCCCTTTGATGACTTGTGGACTTCAGCTCCCAGAATTCCTCAGAGCCTGGCATTGGTGGCGGGGGAATTCTGGGAGTTGAAGTCCACCCACCTTCAAGCGGCTAAGGGTGAGAAACACTGGCGGACAATATCTTTTAACTCTTTGAACCTGTATTTTAAATGCAGGACTTTTACAGGCGAGTCCTCAAGTTATAACCACTCGTTTAGTGACCAAAGTTACAGCGGCACTGAAAAAAGTGACTTAGGATTATTTTTCACACTTAACGACCGTTGCGGCCTCACGGGATCCAAATTCGGACGCTCGGCAACCGACTCGCGTTTATGACGATTGTAGCGATCCCCTTTTGCCACCTTCTGAAGCCAGATTCACTTTACAACCGGAAACGCTGCCGTGATTCACTTAATAACGGAGACCAGGAAGGTTGCAAGTTGGGGCAAAAACTCACTTAACGGCTGCCTCGTTTAGCGATGGAAATTTTGGGCCGGGGACTATCCGTCTCTCCTGGCCACTCTGGGAGAAACATGGGTTGGACTCTGACACCCATCATTCCCAGCCAGGACACACAGTGAGACGGCAAAGCCTGTGTAAGTGCATTATGGGTACATCCAGGACCCTTCCTCTTATTTTCCCCACAATAACAGCCCTATAAGGTGGGCTCGACGGAGAGGAAGCGATTGGCTCAAAGTCGCCCGGCATCACCCAGCTGGCTTTTAGGCCTAAGGCAGAACTCGAACTCAAGACTCTCCCGGCTTCTACAGGCAGTCCTTGACTTACGCCCCTCCCCACAATGGAACCCAGCATTTTTGTCGTTAAGCGAAATGCTGGCAAAGTGAGTTTGGCCCCGTTCGACGACTTTTCTCGCCCCAAGTTTGTTAAGCGAATCTCACGGACGTTAAGTGAACCCGGATTCCCCAATGACTTTGCCTGGCAGACATTTGCTAAAGGGGATCACGTCACACACACACACACACACACACACACACACACACACACACACACACACACACCTCGGGGACGCTGCGCCCGTCATGTATACGAGCAGGTTTCCCAAGCATTTGAATTATGATCGCGTGACTATGGGGGGAAATGCCACAACGGTCACGGGTGTGAAAAACGGTCATAAGCCACTTGGAACGGTCACTGGCTGAAATGTTGTAAGCTGAGGACTCCCTGTAGTACACACCTGGGATCTTGCATCCAGTTTTGGTCCCCACATTACAAAAAAGATGTTGACATTTTGGGGGGGAAAAAAAGTGCAAAGAAGAGCAACTATGATTATTACAATCCTGGAGACTAAAACATAGGAAGAAGAAGAACGGCTGCAGGATTTGGGAATGGCCTGTCTGGAAAAAAGAAGGAGTGTGTGTGTGTGTGTGTGTGTGTGTGTGTGACATGATAGCAGTTTTCCAGTATTTGGGGGCCTGCCCCGAAGAAGAGAGGGCTCAACCTATTCCCCAAAGCGCCTGAAGGCAGGACAAGAAGCAACGGGTGGAAACTCATCCAGGACAGAAGCAACCTGGAACTCAGGAGAAACTTCCTCAAAGTGTGGACAATTAACCGGTGGAACTGCTTGCCACCAGAAATCGTGGGTGCTCCAACACTGGAGGTTTTTAAGAAAAGGCCGGACAACCATTGGTCTGAAGTGGCATAAGGGTCTCCTGCTTGAGTAACGGGGTTGGACTAGAAGACCTCCAAGGTCCCTTCCAACTGTGTTCTGATTAAAACCGATTGTAGCCGGCTGCTTTAACCGCTAGCTAGACCAAACGGGCCCTTGTTCAATTCCCTCCCTCTTTCCATCTGTAAAATGGGCAGAGTGGCTAACTCAGCTAAGTAACTCCGGGGATGAATGAACCATTTTTGTCCCAGGACGCAAAACGGCTTCCTCTCCCGACCCCTTCCGATTCGACCGGATTTGGGAGCTGCCTTTCTCCCACGCCACGCCACGAGACCTCGCGGGAGGGAAGGGGGAGGCGGTGTCCACCCCCAGCGCCGGTGACTCACCCACCCCTGTCCCGTGTCCTGCCAGAAATCTGAGCCAGCCAGACGCACCGGCCAGCCCATCTTTGGTGTGGTCAGGACTGGCTTTTTATAACCAGACGCGCTAGCGTGGGAACCCACCCACCCACCTCGCCAGGCTGGGTAAAGAAAGCCTGGGAAGTGGGGGGGGGCGCGCGCTCTCGTCTTCCCAGCCCCCAGATGTGGCCACGACCGACCGTGGCTATTTCTGGAAAAGCCGGCGGCTAAGTTTGTCTCCG